ACAGTAACATGAACGCTGTAGAAAAATTTAACAGACAGCTAAGTAAAAATTATTTTTTTAAAGATTTTATTTGGGGGGCGCCTGAGTGGCTCAGTTGGTTAAGTGACTGCCTTCGGCTCAGGTCATGATCCTGGAGTCCTGGGATCGAGTCCCGCATCGGACTCCCTGCTCAGTAGGGAGTCCGCTTCTCCCTCGGTCCCTCCCCCCTCTCATGCTCTCTCTCTATCTCATTCTCTCTCTCAAATAAATAAAATCTTAAAAAAAATTTAAAAAAAGATTTTATTTGGGGCTCCTAGGTGGCTCAGTCATTATGCATCTGCCTTCAGCTCAGGTCATGATCCGGGGTCCTAGGATCGAGTCCCGCATCGGGCTCCCTGCTCAGTGGGAAGCCTGCTTCTCCCTCTCCCCCTGCTTGTGTTCCCTCTCTCGTTGTCTTTCTCTCTCTCGCTCTCAAATAAATAAATAAAATCTTTATTTTTATTTTTTAATTTTTTTAAAGATTTTATTTATTTATTTGAGAGCGAGAGAGCTCTAGCAAGAGAGCACAAGCAGGGGGAGCAGCAGAGGGAGAGGGAGAGGCCGACTGCCCACTGAGCAGTGAGCCTGACAATGTGGGGCTTGATCCCAGGATCCTGGGATCATGACCTGAGCCGAAGGCAGGCACTTATTAACCCACTGAGCCTGGTGTAGACAGAGAAGCTGCAAGGACCTTTTTGAGACACCTGGGAAGATTTGAATCCAGGTTGAGTATTAGATGAGACGAAAATGTATTATCTTGGAAGGTAAAGATTGTTTTTGGTTTTTTTTTTAAGTTTTTCTTTAGGGGCGCCTGGGTGGCTCAGTCGTTATGCGTCTGCCTTCGGCTCAGGTCATGGTCCCAGGGTCCTGGGATTGAGCCCCCGCATCGGGCTCCCTGCTCGGCGGGGAGCCTGCTTCTCCCTCTCCCACTCCCCCTGCTTGTGTTCCCTCCCTCGCTGTATCTGTCAAGTACATAAATAAAATCTTTTTAAAAAATAATAAATAAAAATAAAACTAGTACCTTATCCCCAAAACATAATTGGGAAATGCTAACCTAAGGACTGTTTGGTAGAGTGATCAAGCATTCCATTTTGCTCAGGACTAAAGAAACTCCAGGTTATGCATGACTTTCAGTTACACAACCATGAAAGTCATAAGCAAACCAGAAGGAATTTTTACCTTACTGTCTGGTCACACTTGGAGGGCACTTATTGAGGAAATAGTTATATATAAACGATTAGTTAAAATCATAACCTGGCTCTGACCATTTTAATTATACAAAATAATTATTTATATACTTAAACTTTATTTTTTAATTTAATTTTATTATGTTATGTCAGTCACCATACAGTACATCATTAGTTTTTATATATAAACTTTTTAAATTAAACCAGGCTCTATTTTTTTTTAAAGATTTTATTTATTTGAGATAGAGTGAGCGAGCACAAAGGGAGAGTGAGAGAGATAAGTAGACTCCCTGCTGAGCAAGAAGCCCAACACGGGGCTCAATCCCAGGACCCTGGGATCATGAACTGAGCTGAAGGCAGATGCTTAACCAACTAACTGGGCCACCCAGGCGCCCGAAGATGCTTTAGTTTTAGATGTCTCTTTAGTCTGTTTTTTATTTTTATTTATTTATTTTTAAGATTTTTATTTATTTATTTGATGGAGAGAGACAGTGAGAGAGGGAACACAAGCAGGGGGAGTGGGAGAGGGAGAAGCAGGCTTCCCGCAGCGCAGGGAGCCCGATGCGATGCAGGGCTTGATCCCCGGGGTCCTAGGATCATGACCTGAGCCAAAGGCAGAGCCTTAACCAACTAAGCCATCCAGCTACACTTCTTTAGTTTCTTTTAATCTAGAACAGTTCCTCTGCATTTCTACTTTTTGTTTTATAATGACATTGACTTTTTGAAGAGATTAGGGCAGTTTAAATATTTTTTTTTAAAGATTTTATTTATTTATTTGACAGAGAGAGAGAGAGAGAGACAATGAGAGAGGGAACACAAGCCGGGGGAGTGGGAGAGGGAGAAGCAGGCTTCCCGCCGAGCAGGGAGCCCGATGCGGGGCTTGATCCCAGGACCCCGGGATCGCGACCTGAGCCAAAGGCAGACGCCCAACGTCTGAGCCACCCAGGCTCTAAATATCTACTGTTAATAAGGTACTCTACAACCTGGTTTTTTGTTTTTGTTTTTTTAGGATTTTTTTTTTTCATAAGAGGCAGAGAGAGAGAGAGAGAGAGAGAGAGAGGCAGAGGGAGAAGCAGGCTCCCAAGGAGCAGGGAGCCTGATGCAGGACTCGATCCCAGGACCCTGGGATCATGACCTGAGCCGAAGGCAGACACAACCATCTGAGCCACCCAGGCGCCCTTGTTTTTGTTTTTGAGTAAATTAAAATTTAAGAACTGAGGGGTCCCTGGCTGGCTCAGTCGGTAGAGGGTAAGGCTCTTGATCTTGGGCTTGTGAGTTTGAGCCCCATATTGGGTGTAGAGATTACTTAAATAAATAACTTAAAAATTTAAGAACTGAGAATTTCACATTTTCTTTTAAAACTAGTACCTTGGGGCACCTGGGTGGCTCAGTCGTTAAGGTCTGCCTTCGGCTTGGGTCATGATCCCAGGGTCCTGGGATCAAGTCCCGCATCGGGCTCCCTGCTCAGTGGGAAGCCTGCTTCTCCCTCTCCCACTCCCCCACTTGTGTTCCCTCCCTCGCTGTGTCTCTCTGTCAAATAAATAAATAAATAAAATCTTTAAAATAAATAAATAAATAAAACTAGTACCTTATCCCCAAAACATAATTGGGAAATGCTAACCTAAGGACTGTTTGGTAGAGTGATCAAGCATTCTATTTTGCTCAGGACTAAAGAAACTCCAGGTTATGCATGACTTTCAGTTATACAACCATGAAAGTCATAAGCAAACCAGGAGGAATTGTTACCTTACTCTCTGGTCACACTTGGAGGGCACTTGTTGAGGAAATAGTTATATATAAATGATTAGTTAAAATCATAACCTGGTTCTGACCATTTTAATTATACAAAATAATTATTTATATACTTAAACTTTATTTTTTTAATTTAATTTTATTATGTTATGTTAGTCACCGTACAGTACATCATTAGTTTTTATATATGCTTAAACTTTTTAAATTAAACTATCTGAACTGTGTGTTATTTATGCATCTAGATATAGGATATATGCTTAGGAAAATATTGTAACTAAAATTCTGTGTCTTGGAGTGCCTGGCTAGCTCATTTGGTAGAACATGTGACTCGGGGTCATGAGTTCAAGCCCCGTGTAGAACTTACTAAAAAAAAAAAAAAGTTCCATGTCTTATTTCTCTAACTTAAAAAAAATAATAATAGAGCAACATCTTATATCAGCCTTCTTTTTTTTTTTTTTTTAAAGATTTTATTATTTATTTGACAGAGAGAGACACAGCGAGAGAGGGAACACAAGCAGGGGGAGTGGGAGAGGTAGAAGCAGGCTTCCCGCCGAGCGGGGAGCCCGACGCGGGGCCCGATCCCAGGACCCTGGGATCATGACCTGAGCCGAACGCAGATGCCCAATGACGGAGCCACCCAGGCGCCCCTTATATCAGCCTTCTATTACTTGATGTTATATCATTGTTAAAATCATACCCTAAGCTGACAGCCATTGCAGTATACTGAGCTCCAAAGAGACAGGACCAGGGCAGGTGAGAGCCAGATGGGCACTGGGTGACTGTGTCACACTGACAAAAATAACTATACACAGGCAAAGAAGATCCTAAGAGACCAAGAAGTGAAATGTCATCATAGGCCCTCTTTGTGCAAGCTTTCCAGGAGGAGCACAAGAAGCAACTAGATGCCTCAGTTACCTTCTCAGAGTTTTACAAAGAGAGCTCAAGAGGTAGAAGACCATGTCTGCTGAAGAGAAAGTAACTTTGAAGACATGGCAAATGCAGACAAGGCAGTTCTAAAAGAAATGGAAACCTACATTCCTCCTAAAGGGGAAACAAAAACAAAGTTCAAGGATCCTGATGCACCAAAGAGGCTGTCTGTGCATTGGTGATGCTGCAAAGAAACAGAGAGAGACGTGGAGTAACACTGCTGCAGATGACAAGCAGCCTTAGGAAAAGAGGGCTGCTAAGCTGAGGAAAAATAGAGAAATTGCTGAAATAGCAAAATATGAAAATAAGTCTATGGGCAAAAAAAAAAAAGTCCTCAAAGCAGAAAACAAGAAAAAGAAGGATGAGAAGATGGAGAAGTAGAGGAAGATGAAGATGATGATGATGATGATAAATATGGATTCTACTTTTTTTCTCATCTCTAACATATTTAACCTCCCTGTACACAGCTCACTCCTTTTGAAGATAAAAAACTGAAAGGTAACGCTGCGTGAGACTCGTTTTTAAACTGTACGGTGTTCTTTTTCTGTATAGTTAACAACTATCAAATGTGTCTTCAGCTACCCCGGTCCTGGTGGCATTTTCACTACCTTTACAACTACCCTTGCCTGTGTGACAAGAGGGACAGGAATCGAAAGCAGGTTCTCGTGGGCACACAGTCTTTTCTTTTTTCTTTTTTTTTAAAAGATTTTATTTATTTATTTGACAGAGACACAGTGAGAGAGGGAACACAAGCAGGGGGAGTGGGAGAGGGAGAAGCATGCTTCCCGCTGAGCAGGGAGCCGGATGCGGGGCTCGATCCCAGGACCCCGGGATCATGACCTGAGCTGAAGGCAGACGCTTAACGACTGAGCCACCCAGGCGCCCCCACACAGTCTTTTCATCTTCAGTTGTTTCTAACATGTCTTATATAAATTAGTTGTTGGTCTCCTAACTGGATGCCACTTTACAATCACAAAAAACTTACATTTGCTTCATTAACATTCTAAATACTTCTGGATAAAATCAATTTTCTTATTAGAAAACAAAAATCATACCTTTACTAAAGCTATATTTTACCTTAGATAATGCTGTCTTATACACAAAACACATTCTTTTAAAACTTATATTTTTAAAAACAATTTATTTCACACGTAGTTACTTAAAACCTTAGGACGGTTTGTTTGTTTTAAAGTAGAAGCATGTCTTTCACAGTAAGATAGTGATTTGTTCTTTGAGGAATTTTATTTTAAGGTTCTTCTGTAGCTGGATTGTGACACAGCTTTGGCTTGTTGGGATTATTTTTCAGGAGCCAATCAGCTAACCAAATCTATGGAAAAAAGAAAAAAACTCACAATAAACATTTAAATATATATACTATAAATTATAAATATATACTATGAATGATATAAATATATACTATATATACAACCTTATACTTTTAGTATAAATATCAATTTAAAACTTAGTTTTCAAAATCACTGAGAATGAGAAAATGACCATTAAAAAACTGAAACACTAAGTTTTACATTATGCAAGATTTTCAAGTATAGATCCAAACTGGAAAAGAAGTAAAACTATCTCCTTTTACAGATGACATGATCCTATATATATAGAAAATCCCAAAGAATCCACAAGCTATTATAACTAATAAATGAATTCGGTAAAGTTGTAGGTTAAAAGATCAACACAAAAATCATTTGTGTTTCTGGGGCGCCTGGGTGGCTCAGTCGTTGAGCGTCTGCCTTCGGCTCGGGTCATGATCCCAGGGCCCTGGGATCGAGCCCCGCATCGGGCTCCCTGCTCGGTGGGAAGCCTGCTTCTCCCTCTCCCACTCCCCCTGCTTGTGTTCCCTCTCTCGCTGTGTCTCTCTCTGTCAAATAAATAAATAAAATCTTTAAAAAAAAAAAATCATTTGTGTTTCTATATATCAGCAATAAACAACCCAAAAAGGAAAATAAGAAATCACTTCCATTTCAGTAGCATTAAAACAAAAAATCTAGGAGTACATTTAACCAACTTGTATACTGAAAACTCTGAAGTGTTGCTGAAAGAAATTTAAAGACCTGAGTAAATGCAAAGATAACCTGTGTTCATGGATACAAAGACTTAATACTATTTTTTTCTTTTTTTTTAAAGATTTCATTTTTTAAGTAATCTCTACACCCAAAGTGGGGCTCAAACCCACAACCCTGAGGTCAAACATCCTAATGCTCCACCGACCAAGCCAGCCAGGTTCCCTGAAAGACTTAATACTGTTAACATGTCATTACTACCTAAAGTGAGCTATAGATTCAATCCAATCCTTATAAAATTCCCAAAAACATTTTTGCAGAAATGTTAAAGTCAATCCTCAAATTCATATGTAATTTCAAGAGGCTCTGAATATATAAAACAATCATGAAAATGAAAAATAAATTTGGAGAATTTTCTAACTTTGTTCTTCCTTTTTTTTTTCATTTTTTTTTTTTTTTTTAAGTAAACTCCACCCAATGTGGGGCTTAAAGTTATGACCTGGAGCTCAAGAGTCACATGTTCCACTGACTGAGCCATCCAGGAGCCCCCTCTCATCCACTTTTAATCAGAGTATAAAATGGTATAACCACTACAAAATTTGGCAATATTTATCCAGATTAAAAAGGCACATATCAAACACATCAAAACAACATTCTTTTAAAAAAATAACATTATTTCTGACTCAGTATTTCTATTTGTAGGAATTTATTCTATAGGTATATGGTACACAGACATATGAATGAAGATATTGACTGTTGGCAAGTTCATAGTAACAAAAGAGTAGAAACAACCTAAACTACCATCTATATGTGACTAATTAATAAACTGTAGAACATCAATTCAAGAGAATGCCACGAGCTGTTCTTTTAAAACAGGGCAATTTTGTCTGTGGTGTTATTTAATAATTTATATGTTGAGTAAATAAGGTAAAGAGTATCAAATGGCATATTTAGTAGGTAGCATTTGTAAATGTACATGTTTTTAAGTATGCTTAGGGCGCCTGGGTGGCTCAGTTGGTTGAGCGACTACTGCCTTCGGCTCAGGTCATGATCCTGGAGTCCCGGGATCGAGTCCCGCGTCAGGCTCCCTGTTCGGCAGGGAGTCTGCTTCTCCCTCTGACCCTCTTCCCTCTCGTGCTCTCTCTCTTCTCTCTCTCTCAAATAAATAAATAAAATCTTTAAAAAAATATATATATATATGCTTATATATGTATAGATTTTCTCTGCTGAAAGGATATATAGAGCCTGCTAAGAGTGAATGACTCCAGGAAGTATAACTGAATGACCAAGGAACAGAAATGAGAATGAGAGTTACTTTTCATGATATATCCTTTTGTAATTTTTGAATTTTATACCATATTTAAATATTGCTTATTAAAAAAACTGTTCTAAATATTACTCAAAAAATTAATTAGAAAAGAAAGTTAAGGGCAAAATTTTTTTAGCTGTTCATATGTTTTGAATTATAATTCTACCTTTTAAATTTTTTTATTTTTTATTTTATTTTTTATTTTATTTTAAAGATTTTGTTTATTTCACGTTCTGCGTGGAGCACTGGGTGTTATGCACAATGAATCATGGAACACTACATCAAGAACTAATGATGTAATGTATGGTGATTAACATAACAATAAAAAAGATTTTATTTATTTGACAGAGAGAGAGGGAACACAAGCAGGAGGAGTGGGAGAAAGAGAAGCAGGTTTCCCGCAGAGCAGGGAGCCCCATGCAGGGCTCGATCCCAGGACCCTGGGATCATGACCTGAGCTGAAGGCAGACGCTTAACAACTGAGCCACCCAGGCGCCCCTTATTTTTTATTTTAAGTAGGCTCCATACCCAACATGGGGCTTCAACTCACAACCCTGAGATCAAGAGTCACATGCTCTAGTAGTAAGCCAGTCAGGCAGCCCTCTACTTTTTGATCTCTTTCCAAATGATGTAATCTCAATGTGTGAAAAGCCTTATACTCAAAGATGTTTACTGGGGCGCCTGGGTGGCTCAGATGGTTAAGCGTCTGCCTTGGGCTTAGGTCATGATCCCAGGATCCTGGGATCGAGTCCCGCATCGGGCTCCCTGCTCCTTGGGAGCCTGCTTCTCCCTCTGCCTCTCTCTCTCTCTCCCTCTGTCTCTCATGAATGGATAAATAAAATCTTTAAAAAAAGAAAATCAAAGATGTTTACTGTTACACTATTCATAATAGCAAACAACTCAAACAGCAAAAGAAGTATGGTAAGGGTAATAACAGAAATCACTTAACTATTAAAATAATCTCTATAGGGCACCTGGGTGGCTCAGATGGTTAAGCGTCTGCCTTCGGCTCAGGTCATGATCCCAGGGTCCTGGGATCGAGTCCCGCATTGGGCTCCCTGCTCCTTGGGAGCCTGCTTCTCCCTCTGCTTCTCTTTCTCTCTCTGTCTCTCATGAATAAATAAATAAAATCTTTAAAAAAAATAAATAAATAAATAAAAATAAAATAAAATAAAATAATCTCTATAAAATATATATTTAAATATAGTGATATTTGGGATGCCTGGGTGGCTCAGCCGGTTAAGCATCTGCCTTCGGCTCAGGTCATGATCCCAAGGTCCTGGGACTGAGTCTTGCACCGGCCTCCTTGCTCAGCAGGAGCCTGCTTCTCTCTTTGCCTCCTGCTCCCCCTGCTTGTGTGTGCTCTTTCTCTCTGACAAATAAATAAAATCTTAAAAAAAAACTAAATATAGTGATATTTATGGGATATATGTTTAAATATAGTAATAGAAATTAAAAAAATAAAACCTGAGCAAAGAAAAAACAGGACTGGAAAAGACAAAACAATAATAGCAGTTAATATTGGAGCACGTATGCACCAGACACTCTAAGAATTTTACATGCATTCATACTTCTCGGTGTTTGTTTGTTTGTTTTTAAGTAGACTCCACGCCCAGCGTGGAGCCCAATGAGGGGCTTGAACTCAGAACCCTGAGATGAAGAGCTGAACCGATATCAAGAGTCAGATGCCTAGGTGTTCGCAGCCGCCGCCACGCTGCCGTCGCTCGCCAACGCCAGCGCCGCCTCTAGCTCGCCGAGCTCCAGCCCAAGGAGAAGGGGGGTAAGTAAGGGAGTTTCTGTACCATGGCTCGTACAAAGCCGACTGCCCGCAAATCGACCGGTGGTAAAGCACCGAGGAAGCAACTGGCTACAGAAGCCGCTCGCAAGAGTGCGCCCTCTACTGGAGGGGTGAAGAAACCTCATCCTTACAGGCCTGGTACTGTGGCACTCCGTGAAATTACACGTTATCAGAAGTACACCGAGCTTCTGATCTGCAAACTTCCTTTCCAGCGTCTGATGGGAGAAATTGCTCAGGACTTCAAAACAGATCTGCGCTTCCAGAGCGCGGCTATTGGTGCTTTGCAGGAGGCAAGTGAGGCCTATCTGGTGGGCCTCTTTGAAGACACCAACCTGTGTGCTATCCATGCCAAACGTGTCACAATTATGCCAAAAGACATCCAGCTAGCGCGCCGCATACGTGGAGAACGTGCTTAAGAATCCACTATGATGGAAAACATTTCATTCTTTAAAAAAAAATTTTTTTTTTCTCTTCTTCCTGTTATTGGTAGTTCTGAACCTTAGATATTTTTTTTCCATGGGGTCAAAAGGTACCTAAGTATATGATTGCAAGTGGAAAAATAGGGGACAGAAATCAGGTATTGGCAGGTTTTCCATTGTCATTTGTGTGTGAATAAAGCATTAATGCAAGTCAAAATGTTTCAGTGAACACGTTTCAGCAGTTCAACTTTATAACAATTATAAATAAACCTGTTAAAATTTTTCTGGACAATGCCAGCATTTGGATTTTTTTAAAACAAGTAAATTTCTTATTGACAGCAACTAAATGGTGTTTGTAGCATTTTTATCATACAGTAGATCCATCCATTCGCTGTACTTTTCTAACTGAGTTGTCCTACATGCAAGTACATGTTTTTAATGTTATCTGTCTTCTGTGCTGTTCCTGTAAGTTTGCTATTAAAATACATTAAACTATAAAAAAAAAAAAAGAGTCAGATGCCTAACAAACTAAGCCACCCAGGTGCCCTCTCATACATTTTTACATTTAATCCTAACAATATCCCTATTATGTAAGCAGGTACTAATCTATTTGCATTTTACTGATGAGAAGAGAAAAACTCAGAGCTTAGAGGTCTGGAGTCAGAGCTGAATCTAGGCAAGATGATTTCAAAGACCATATCTAGGAAATGGAACCAGGGGTATCTTTTTCTTTTCTTTAACTTTTCAGTAGTATCAGGTTTCTTACGAAGTAAACATATGGTATTGTCACAATGAAAAGGAGTTATTAAAGAAATAACCTGCCTAGGGGCACCTAGCTGGCTCAGTCAGTAGAGTGTGTGACTCTTAATCTCGGGGGTCATGAGTTCGAGCCCCACATTGGGTGTAGAAATTATTTAAAATAAATAAAAAGAAAAAAAAAGAGAGAAATAACCTGCTTATCTTTTGTTTTTGGTAAAAGTGACAAAGTTAGTAGGAGAGATTAAATCTTTTGTCTTCCAAAGGCGATTCCCTTTCAGAATGGTAACAGAAGCTGGAGATACTATTTTGTCAGGGCTGGTATTAACCTTCCCTGAGGTGACTGGCTGGCTCAGTGGGAAGAACATGCCACTCTTGATCTTGGGGGTTATGAGTTCAAGCCCCATGTTGGGCATAAAGCTTACTTAAAAAATAAATAAATAAATGAAATAACTTCCTTGATTATCTCTGAATCTTCAAACGAGTGGGAGTACCTGTAAGGAAGGAGCAAGGAAGACATTTGGCCCTGGACACCATCCTAGTTTCTCCCACCCAACTATTCTTCCACCTGACTGAGCAATGTTGAAGTATCTAGGGATGTGAATAAATATGTTTGCTATGAAAAAAAATTAGATGTCATTAAAAATAAAAATATCAAACAAAATTCAAGTATGTATCTAATTTTATCATTTGATTATATAAATTATACCCCAATACAATGATCTGTATTTGAAGGCCGCAGTAACTGAAAATGTATTTATTTTTTAATTTTTTTAAAGATTTTATTTATTTATTTGCGAGAGAGAGAATGAGAGAGAGAGAGCATGGGGGGGGAGGGTCAGAGGGAGAAGCAGACTCCCTGCTGAGCAGGGAGCCTAAGGCAGGACTCCATCCTGGGACTCCAGGCAGTCGCTTAACCAACTGAGCCACCCCGGCGCCCCGAAAATGTATTTAGAAACAATGGTTTTTTGTTTTTGTTTTTGTTTTGTAGGAACAGTATTCTTTAAGAGTTAAAATACAGCAGGGTGCCTGGGTGGCTCAGCTGGTTAAGTGTCTGCTTTCAACTCAGATCATGATCTCCGGGTCCTGGGGTAGAGCCCTGTGTCTGACTCCACACTCAGCAGGGAATCTGCTTGAGGATTCTCTCTCTCCCTCTGCCCCTTTCCCAGCTCATGCGTTCTCTCTCAAATAAAAAAAAAATCTTAAAAAAAAATAGTTAAAATATAGTAAGAGAATAAGTAATCAAAAGTTATACTTAAGTATCTAAAATGTATATGAAATAGTTTTTAAAATGCTCTTAATATTTCACTGTTTCAAAAAATATAATGTTTTAAATATGAAAACTATAGACAATTTCTTTAGTGTGAATAAAAAGATTTCTTACAAAAGGATCTGCTGGTTTCTCCTTACAAAGTACTGTGAGTCCTTCAAGCAGAGTTGGTGTTACATATAAATTTAAATAATCCTTAGCAGCTTGTCCAACTGGAATGGGTTCAATAATCACTGCAAAGACAAATGTATTCCAATTAAAACCACCACAAATGATGAAATATTATATAATCATTACAAAGAAAGAAATTTTAGTGGATAATACTTATAAAGGCTTTTTTTGTTTTGTTTTGTTTTTTACAAAAAGGAAACAACTAGATACGTAGCATAGTTTGTTCAAAAACACACAAGCACACACAGAGAAATAATAAGACCACGTAAGACTGGCAAAAAAATGTATCAAAACACTAAGATTGATCATGTATAAGATTCTGATTATGTTTTCTACTACATCCTTGTCTGCATTTCCATTTCCATATTTTTTACAGTACATATTACAATGGACAATGTCATGAAAAAGAAAAATATGAACAACATGTAAAATTTAGGAGATTAATTGATTTCAACAATTAATTCCTGCTGACAAAATAGCAGGCATTTTACAAAGTGGTATGGATAGAACAGTGAATAACATGTAGTTCTTGCTCTCTTATAAACTACTGAATATACACATAAAACCTATTTCTGTGTGTATAGTATATATTACATTCCTGTTATTTTTCAGGTTTTTTTAAATTATTATTTTTCAGGTTTTTAAATAAATTATGTAAGATCTAGGAAAATTTTAGTCTTTTTAGTCTTGTTTGAACACTATGTAGGTCAACCAGACTTGCAGTACAACAAAGAATCTATTTATATGAGAAAGAATATATTTTATAAGTCTTAGTAAGTCTTTTGAGGTTGACCTCAATCAATGGGCAACTTTTGATAAAGATGAGAATGTGAAGCTCCTGGACTCACGTGTTCAGATTTAAATCGTCACTGGCCCAAGGAAAAAGAAGGTGGGAAGACAGATTTCTGTATGCCCAGTGTATGGGCTCAGTCTTTTTTTTTTTTTTTTTTTTAAGATTTTATTTATTTATTTGACAGAGACACAGCGAGAGAGGGAACACAAGCAGGGGGAGTGGGAGAGGGAGAAGCAGGCTTCCCGCGGAGCAGAGAGCCCGATGTGGGGCTCGATCCCAGGACCCTGGGACCATGACCTGAGCCGAAGGCAGACGCTCAACGACTGAGCCACCCAGGTACCCCCTGGGCTCAGTCTTAATGAGACAACTAACAATGAGAGTCCTTTGCCAGGATGCCAAGAAAAGCTAGGAAATGTCTCAAAGGACTTGAGTAAAAGGTTCCTTTCCTATTAGTCTCATTATAGCACTCTTTTTTGTACTGATCACTGTAATAATTTTTATTTTGGTTACACAAATATTTGTCATCTGTCTCTTCTACTCTTTCAGTTCCATGAAAGTTAGGACCACATTTATTATGTTCACTCTACCCTGTAGCCAGGCCCTTTGTAATATTTAAAAATGAAAATTGAGGGGCCCCTGGGTGGCTCAGTCAGTTAAGTGTCTGCCTTTAGCCCAGGTCATGATCTCAGGGTCCTGGGATTGAGCCCCATGTCGGGCTTCCCACTCAGTGGGGAGTCTGCTTCTCTCTCTCCTTCTGCCCCTCCACTCGCTTGTGCTCTCTCCCTCTCTCAAATAAATACAATCCTTAAAAAATAAAAATGAAGATGAAAATTGATTATTGCCATTCCCATCCTTAAAAAGCTTCATTGGTTCCTCACTGCATTTACAGTCAAGATAGAACTCCATACCACAGCCCACAGAACTCTATACATGTAATCTCCACTTACCTCCCCAACCTCATATTTATCTTCCTCTGATCTTTGTTTATACAATGTGTCATGTTCTTTCTTTCTCATGACTTGAGAGAGACATGCTGTTCCATTTGCTAGAATGTTCTTCCCTGGATCTCACGTCACTTCCTCAGTTGGGCCTTTCTTATCATAGAGTCTCATAATACCCTATAATTGCTTTGTATAGCACTTACCACACAGTAACTACACAGTCATAACTGTACCATTATTTGGCTAATTATTGTTTAATGGCTATCTTCTGAACATTAGATGTAAACTCCAAGGGAGCGGGGACCTCATCTATTTTTTGTAATTTTACTAAAAAAATTGAGGTATATTCACATATAATAAAATTCACTCACTGAAGTATACACTAAATTTTTAGTAAACTTGTAGTTTTGCAATCAGTACCACAATCCAGTTTTAGAACACTTCACTACCCCAAAAATATTCCTTGTGCTTATTTGTGATTTCCCACTCCCACTCCCACCCCTAGCCTTTGGCAAGCACTGAGCTTCTATTTAAAGATTTGCCTTTCCTCAAACCATGAGAGACTATGGACTCTGAGAAACAAACTGAGGGTTCTAGAGGGGAGGGGGGTGGGGGGATGGGTTAGCCTGGTGATGGGTATTAAAGAGGGCACGTTCTGCGTGGAGCACTGGGTGTTATATGCAAACAATGAATCATGGAACACTACATCAAAAACTAATGATGTAATGTACGGTGACTAACATAACATAATAAAAAAAATTTGCCTTTCCTGGATATTTCATATAAACAGATCATGTATGTTGTCTTTTGTGCCTGGATTCTTTCAGCATTATGTTTTGAGTTTTTTTTTTTTTAAGATTTTATTTATTTATTTGAGAGAGAGAATGAGAGAGAGAGCACATGAGAGGGGGGAGGGTCAGAGGGAGAAGCAGACTCCCTGCTGAGCAGGGAGCCCAATGCAGGACTCGATCCCGGGACTCCGGGATCATGACCTGAGCTAAAGGCAGTCGCCCAACCAACTGAGCCACCCAGGCGCCCCAATGTTTTGAGTTTCATCCAATGTGTAGCATGTATCAGTAGTTTGTTCCTTTGAATTGCTGAATAGTATTCTATTATACGGCTATACAACATTTTGTTTAACCATTAATACATAGTCGGATTTTTTTCTAGTTTTTGGCTGTACTAAATAGTGCTGCTATAAACATTCACATGTGTCTTTATGTAGATTTATGTTTTCTTTTCTCTTAGATGGGTATATTCTAAGAGGAGTGGAACTGCAACAGAGTTACATGGTAAGCATACATTCAACATTTTAAGAAACCACCAAACTGTTTTCTAAAGTGGCTTTATCATTTTCCAATAATGTATGAGGATCCCAGTATCTCTTTATCCTTGCCATTATTATCCATTGTAGTGGGTATGAGGTGGTATCTCATTGTGGTTTTTTTGTTTTGTTTTATTTTAACTCATTGTGATTTTAATTTGCATTTCCCCAGTGATTATGTTTTAATACTTTTTCATATTTTTATTAGCCATTCATGTATCTTGTGAAATGCTTATTCAAAACTTTTGCCTGGTTTTTGTTTGCCTTCTTTTTACTGAATTAATTATAAGAGTTCTTGGGCGCCTGGGTGGCTCAGTTGGTTAAGCGACTGCCTTCGGCTCAGGTCATGATCCTGGAGTCCCAGGATCGAGTTCCGCATCAGGCTCCCTGCTCAGCAGGGAGTCTGCTATCTCCCTCCGACCCTCTTCCCTCTCGTGCTCTCTATCTCTCATTCTCTCTCTCTCAAATAAATAACTAAAATCTTAAAAAAAAAAAAAATCATAAGAGTTCTTCATAAATCCTAGATAAAAGTCCTTTATTTCATATGATTTTCAAATGTTTCCTACCAGTCTGTGGTTAATCTTCTCAATATTTTTAATGATGGCTTTTGAAACATAAAACATACAAACTTTTAATTTTGATTTATCAATATTTTCTTTTATGGATCATGCTTTTGATATCATTTGCAAAAACCCTTTGTCCAACTCAAGGTCATGAAGATTTCCCATGTTTTCGTCTAGATACTTTTAGCTCTTATGTTTGTTGTTACATTTTGTATGGGGTATGAAACAAGATCTGAGTTCTTTCTCTTTTTTTGCATGTGGATATTCAGTTGTCCTAGCACCATTTGTTGAAAAGATCACCCTTTCGGGCGCCTGGGTGGCTCAGTTGGTTAAGCGACTGCCTTCGGCTCAGGTCATGATCCTGGAGTCCCGGGATCGAGTCCCACATCGGGCTCCCTGCTCAGCAGGGAGTCTGCTTCTCCCTCTGACTCTCCTCCCTCTCATGCTGTCTCTCATTCTCTCTCTCTCAAATAAATAAATAAAATCCTTAAAAAAAAAATAAAAAAAAATAAAAAGAAAAGATCACCCTTTCCCCATCAAACTGTCTAGGCACTTTTGTTGAAAGTCAACTGACCATAAATGTAAGGATTTATTCCTAGATTCTCAATTCTCTTTCATTGATCTATATGTCTAGTATAATACTGTCTTAATTATTGTGGTCTCATAGTTTTAAAATAAGATTAGTGGAAGTTCTCCATCTTATTTTTTCTTTTTAAAAATTGTTTTAGCTTGCCTAGATCTTTTGCAATTCCAGATAAATTTTAGAATCAGCTTGCCAACTTCTACATAAAAGAATGTATGGATTTTGATAGGAAATGCATCAAATTAATTGATCAATTTGGAAAGAACTGCCATCATGACAATATTGACTACTCTAATCCATCAACATGGGACGTCTATCTATTTTAGTCTTTCACTTCTCTCAATAATGTTTTATGCCTTTCAGTACGTAAGAATTGTACTTCTTTTGTTAAATTTATTCCTAAGTATTTTATTATTTACTTATGTAATTCTAGTATAAGTAACATACAGTGTATTATATTAGTTTCAGGTATACAACAAGGTGATTCAATAATTTTTTTTTAAGATTTTATTTATTTATTTGACCAGAGAGAGAGAGAGAGCAAGCTCACACAAGCAGGGGGAGTGGTAGGCAGAGGGAGACACAGGCTCCCTGCAGAGCGGAGAGCCCAATGTGAGCCTCGATCCCAGGACCCTGGGATCATGACCTGAGCCGAAGGCAGACGCTTAACGACTGAGTCACCCAGGCGCCCCGTGATTCAACAATTCTATACATTGCTCAGTGTTCAAAATAAGTGTACCCTTAATCCCCTTCACCTATTTCACTCATCCCCACCCAGCCACCCTCTGGTAACCATCAGTTTGTTCCCTATTTTTAAGAATCTGGTTTATGTCTCTTTTTTTATTTTGTTTTGTAAATCCCACCTATGAGTGAAATAGTAGTTATTTTTGATGCTATTGTGAATGAAATTATTTCCTTAACTTCATTTTTGGATTGTTTCTACCTCATCTTCTTCTCTAAAAAAAAAAAAAAGATTATTTGAGGGGCGCCTGAGTGGCTCAGTTGGTTAAGCATCTGGCTTCGTCTCAGGTCATGATCCCAGGGTCTTGGGATCCAGCCCCGTGTCAGGCTCCCTGCTCAGCAGGGAGCCCGCTTCTCCTTCTCCTCTCTGCTCAGGCTCTCTATGGCTATCTCTGTCTCTCTCTCTCTCTCAGATAAATAAAATCTTAAAAAAAGAAAAAAAATTATTTGATATTTGAGAGAGAGAAAGAGTGTGTCCCTGAGCAAGCAGAGGGAGGGTCAGAGGGAGAGAGAGAATCCTGAAGCAGATTCCCTGCTAAGAGCCCAACATAGGGCCCGATGCCACAACCCTGAGATCATGACCTGAGCCAAAATCAAGAGTTGAACGCTTAACCAGATGAGCCATCCAGCTGCCCATCTACCTCATCTATTTTTGCCGATCATTCATTATTTGTCTCTAGCAACCAGGGCTGGATGAATTAATGTGAAAATAAGGTTTTCATGTTTCTTACACAGATGAACTTTCATGGCACTTTAATGACATTTGTAGTTTATACATTACATTGTATACTTATTTTTATACATTTTTAAAATATGATCATCTTGAGAGCAGGGACATATTGTTATTCATCTTTGTATTTCTGGCACATAGTAGGTAATTCAATAAATTTGTTGAAGGAATGGAATATAGCAAAGCTTTGAATTAGCCATCTCTGTTGAAAGGGAAGGGTAAGGACACTACATTTTTTCTTTTTTTTTTAAATATTTTTATTTATTTATTCATGAGAGACAGAGAGAGAGAGAGAGGCAGAGGGAGAAGCAGGCTCCCAAGGAGCAGGGAGCCCGATGTGGGACTCGATCCCAGGACTCTGGGATCATGACCTGAGCCGAAGGCAGATGCCCAACCATCTGAGCCACCCAGGCGCCCAAGGACACTACATTTTTTCAAGGGTTAGGAACATGTCTGAATATCTTTATGACTTGCTTGAGTGAATCATCATATAGGGTTTTGCAAATAGCTCTTGACTGACTGCTAAGCAAGAGAGAGCTCATATCCCAAACTCTGAGAATTTACTCCAAAGAACTTCACATTCTCACAGCAAAAGATCTGTAATGTGGTAGGTAATTAATCAGTTATATTTATCCTACAACTGCTGCTTCTCAAATGTCTAATTATATCTCTTAAACTCATGTCTAGAGGACAAATTAGTGGGTAAAATCAAAAGCAATCTAAAATAACAGTTTAGGGCGCCTGGGTGGCTCAGATGGATAAGCGTCTGCCTTCGGCTCAGGTCATGATCCCAGGGTCCTAGGATCGAGTCCCGCATCGGGCTCCCTGCTCCTTGGGAGCCTGCTTCTCCCTCTGCTTCTCTCTCTCTCTCTCTTTTTCTCTCCCTCTGTCTTCCATGAATAAATAAATAAAATCTTTAAAAAAATAAAATAAAATAAAATAAAATAACAGTTTAGGTATATAACCCTGTGAGTAAGAATAGCTTTTAAAAAAAGGACTAGAGAAAACAAAACAATAATAGCAGTTAATATTTGAGCACATATGCATCAAACACTAAGAATTTTACATGCATTTATATATTCAACCCTAACAATATCCCTAACTAGGTAGGCAATACTAATAATATTTGCATTTTACTGAAAAGAAGAGAAAAAAACAGAGAGAGGTTAGATGTCTGGAATCAGAGGAAAATCTAATTCACTGGGGTGCCTGGGTGGCTCAGTTGTTAAGCATCTGTCTTCGGCTCGGGTCATGATCCCAGGGTCTTGGGTTCCGGCCCGCATCGGGCTCCCTGCTCCGCGGGAGCCTGCTTCTCCCTCTGCTTCTCTCTCTCTCTGCCTCTCCCTCTCCCTCTCTCTCTCATGAATAAATAAATAAAATCTTTAAAATAAATAAATAAATAATAAATAAAATCTTAAAAAAAAGAATCAGGACTTTTAAATCTCAAGACAGATTTCAGTTTTCTTTGAATAAATCATCAGTAGAAAATACTGAGGAATAGGCCTAAATGACTTAAGAGAAAAGTAACAGGCCAAAAAAATATTTAAAGCTTCCCAATGCTTTACATCTTTTTCTTTATAACAGAAATCACCAAATTTTCTTCTGAATCTAAAAATACTATTGAGAACAAACTAAAGGGGCGCCTGGGTGGCTCAGTCGTTAAGCGTCTGCCTTCGGCTCAGGTCATGGTCCCAGGGTCCTGGGATCGAGCCCCGCATCGGGCTCCCTGCTCAGCGGGAAGCCTGCTTCTCCCTCTCCCACTCCCCCTGCTTGTGTTCCCTCTCTCTCTGTGTCTCTGTCAAATAAATAAAATCTTAAAAAAAAAAAAAAGAAAAGAAAACAAACTAAAAACCTCAATGTTATTCCTTACTATGCCCACTTCTAGAAGGTTTACAACTTCCATAACAGGATGGAAACAAAAACAGGCCTGAGACTTACTAATTTCACAACTGCATAAATATTCATTAGACAAACAGTAAAGAGAAAAAATGGGAAATCTATCATAATTTCCAAGGGAGATTGTTTTTTTCATGTGTAACAAACTTTACTGATGCATTAGGAGGAACTTAAGGAATTGCAACAAAGGAGAAGAGAAACCCTAAACATGGCTAGTCTAAGAGAAGAGGAAAAAGTAAACTCTTCTCAAAAGATTCCCTACAGGACACAATTTAGTTTCTGAGGGAAATACTGAATTTTCCATTCTTGGCCTCAAGTTTGTAAGTAACTATAACTTCAAAATATGACAAAATATATTGGAGAAAAACCCTGTTATCTTCCTTCCCAGGTACATCACCCAAATAAAAGAGAAAGCAAACAACAGGGAGATGCACTTGACTAAATTACTCATTGGTAACTCACCTTTAGGAAACATGAATCGAATTTCTCTTTCCGCTGCAGCAAAATCATTGCTCCCATGAAGTGCATTCCTTAGGTCATCTGTGCCATAAATTGCCCTTAGACTAAAAGTGAGTTAGAGATGATGACCATCCAATGTGATATCCTTTCCTTACTCTTTACATATGCGTTCTACTTAGGAATTTTAGAGAAGCATTGCCACTTCTCACATACGGAAGTTTTAATCTATTTTGAATTTAAGCTTAAATCTACCTAGATGAGGGTCAAATATATTTAAATCTGCAGGAGGGATACACTGGGAAACAGGAGTTCTTTGGGTGAAGAGGAGGTGTTGTTTTGTGAGAAGTGAAAAGGCAATGTATGTTAAAAAATGCAAGAATTCAATGTCCTCGCGTTTCCAAATTTTAATGATAGTGCTAAAAATCTGTTTTTCTGGCCTTCTATTACCAATATTATTTTTAAAAGCCATGCCAATTTTCCTATGAAAAATCCTACTTCAGGGGCAGTTTAATTCAAGGATGAGAGAAGAATTAGGCTAATCAGAAGAATTAGGCTAAATCAGACATTCCCTGAGGCCTTTTGGGGTATATGGTATTAAGATGGACATTTAAATAGCTAAAATGTAAAACTGACCCCATCCCCATCCCAACCAAAAAACAAAAAGTTGACTTAGAAAAACTTTCAAATGAAAAGAAATCAGTTTTGGGTTTTATTTTGTTTTGTTTTGTTTTGTTTTCATTTTTATACTTGGATTCCATTTTTCCCCCTAGGAAAGTTACCTGTCTGGGTGAGTCTCTTTAGCTACTAAGGTATTACTTGGTCCCAAAAGTTCTTTCCAGTAAGAGATGGCTTTATGTCTAGCTAATATCATGGCAACAAGTGGTCCAGAACTCATGTAAGCTGTTAAATTGGGGAAAAACATTTTCCCATACTGTTCCACATAAAAGTTACTACAGTGCTCAGGGCTGAGATGGAGTTTTCTTCTCTATAAGAGAAACAAAGTCAACAAAAGTATTTAAAATGACAGTTCAATAATAACTCATTAAGTCATTAATAACTTGAAATTCATACAAATCTGATTATAAATGTAAGATTTTTATATTACGAAGAAAGGGAGATATAAAGTTAAATGTAGGCTATAAATAAACTTCTCAAAGTTATTTAACCAACTCTCGTGCGCTGTTGATGTGAAGGTAAACCCATGCAGCCACTGTGGAAACCAGTATGGAGGTTCATCAAAAAATTAAAAATAGAAATACTATATGATCCAGTAATTCCACTACTGGTTATTTACCCAAAGAAAACAAAACCACTAATTCAAAAAGATATATGCACCCCTACATTTACTGCACCATTATTAACAATAGCTGAGACATGGAAGCAACACAAAGATCAATCTACAGATAAGTGGATAAAGATGTGGTATATAAATACAATGGAATATTACCCAGCCATTGCATAGAAAGGAATGAGATCTTGCCATTTGTGACACTATGGACGGACCCAGAGGGTATTATGCTAAATGAAATAAGTCAGACAGATAAAGACAATTACCATTTCATTTATATGTGGAATCTAACAAGAGAATGGACAAACAAAAAACAGACTCTTAAATACAGAGAACAAACCTGTAGTTGCCAGAAGGGATGGTAGTGGGGGGCATGGGTGAAACAGATGAAGGGAATTAAAGGTAGGAACTTATAGTTACAAAATAAGTAAGTCACAGAGATGAAAAGCACAGCATAGAGAAGAGTTAATAATACTGTAATAATGTCGTATGGTGACAGATGGTGACCACACTTACTGTGGTAAGCACTGACTAAAATATAGAATTGTAAAAATCAGTATGTTGTACACCTGAAACTAATATACATTGCATGTTAATTATACTTAAGTTAAAAACAGCTATTTAACCTACTTAAGAAAAACTATCCCTATCCGGCAGCCTACTTCAATATATGGTTTGTTAATGACAAACTGAGCTTATCTCCTTCTTTAAGTAAAAGACTACTATCATCAACATTTTTATACTTTGTATACATTAAAGTAACAAAATTGGACTTCAGAATATTCCAAATTCATCTTTATCTATTTGTGATATTTTCCTATTAATTGTGAAATTTTCCTATATTATTTTAGGGAGCTGGTCTTATCGTGGTACTTAGAAATAATATACAGTATAATGATGCAGTAAACAAGTTTTTCTGTTGAATGTAAAAGTTGTGTAATCTTGGGCGCCTGGGTGGCTCAGTCGGTTGAGCGACTGCCTTCAGCTCAGGTCATGATCCTGGAGTCCCGGGATCGAGTCCCACATCGGGCTCCCTGCTCGGCGGGGAGTCTGCTTCTCCCTCTGACCCTCCCCCCTCTCATGCTCTCTCTCTCAAAAATAAATAAAATTTAAAAAAATTAAAAAAAAAAAGTTGTGTAATCTTTATTCTAGTTCTGCCATAAATATGTAGGTTCACTATGATCTTAAAATACTTGGTACTAAGTTTCTCAGTTTGAAAGAACATAAAATATTGAGGGCAAGTAAACATTATTTTCTTCACAAATGAGATTATACGAACGAATCAGTAAAAAATCACAGAAGTGAAACCAGCCATTCTTCTGATTAGAGATCATCCTTCTCTAAAAGCAGCTATGTGAACACTTCTTTTTTTTTAGATTTTATTTATTTATTTTGACAGAGACACAGCGGGAGAGGGAACACAAGCAGAGGGAGTGGGAGAGGGAGAAGCAGGCTTCCGGCGGAGCAGGGAGACCGATGTGGGGCTCAATCCCAGGACCCTGGGATCATGACTCTAGCCGAAGGCAGACGCTTAACGACTGAGCCACCCAGACGCCCCTATTTGAACACTATTAAAATATCATCCATTACTACTGTTTGTCAGTTCCACTAAAGGTGGATCATGAAGGAAAAGACTCAAGAAATAACAGAGGGATTCAAATTAGTCACCAAGAAAAACTTCTGGCTAGAATAAGGATGATGAGAATGGAGATAAGTTAGAAGGTCAAGGCTAAAAATCTCCATGATTAAGGCAGAAAGCTATCTTTCTAAAGTGGGTTAGATTTTCCTGACAGTACAGCATGAAATTTACCAAGTGACGTCTTAAGGCTCCTTCCAAAACAATCATGTGTCCTCAGGTTTCGGAAACCTGGCAAAATTGCTTGGTTTGTAGTGAGAAATCAAAACTGCCCAAAGCAAGAAATGGGAAGATGTTTACCTAGGTGGGTCAGCACTGTTGTAAACAGGCTATGCTGACAAATATAACATTCTCACCAGTCAAGGACCAGCTACTACAAAATAGGTGCTTGTATCTGTTCACATAATGAAATTCATATAGTCAAGAAAAACAAATTTGAGAAGTTACAAAACCACCTGATTTAGTATAATCCTTGATTCTATTACTTAAAAATAAGATGTGTCAGTATTTGTGATTCTTGGGCATACTGGTATGGGTTTTTTGGTTGCTGCATTAAAAAATAAAATTTCATCTGTTATAATGTAAGCCCTTATCACATGCCCCTTAACAAGCAAGGGAAGCCACCTTCTGTAGGTGTGCTGCCTAATGCAGCATAATTATAAACATTAAGAGCTCCTCTTAAGCTAAAATTGATGAGGAGCACCTGGGTGGGTCAGTCGGTTAAGTGTTTGACTTAGGCTCTGGTCATGATCTCAGAGCCCCCCCATCTGGCTCCAGGGGTTTGCTCTCAGCAGGGAGTCTGCCCCTCCCCTGCTCATTCCCTCTGTCTCCCCCCCCTCAAATAAATAAAATCTTTAAAAAATTGATAATGGGCGCCTGGGTGGCTCAGTTGGTTAAGCGACTGCCTTTGGCTCAGGTCATGATCCTGGAGTCCGGGGATCGAGTCCCACATCGGGCTCCCTGCTGAGCAGGGAGTCTGCTTCTCCCTCTGACCCTCTTCCCTCTCGTGCTTTCTATCTCTCATTCTCTCTCTCTCAAATAAATAAATAAAATCTTTAAAAAAATTGATAATAAATCAGTAATTCCATTGGTTACTTTAAAATTAGGTCGGGGCACATGGCTGGTTAGGCCAGTGGGAGATGCAAATCTTGGTCTCGGGGTTGTGAGTTTGAGCCCCATGAGGGGTGTGAAAATTGATTAAAAATAAAAAATTTTTATTTATTTGCCAGAGAGAGAGAGAGAAAGAGAGAGAGATTGCACACAAGCAGGGGGAGCGGCAGGCAGCGGCAGAAGTAGGCTCCCCGCTGAACAAGGAGCCCGATGTGGGACTCGATCCCAGGATCCTGGGATCATGACCTGAACTGAAGGCAGACGCTTAACTGACTGGGCCACCCAGGCGTCCCTAAAAATAAAATCTTTAAAAAAATTAGATCAGGTAAAATTTTTTGGAATTTGGGTGAATATTTTCACAAAGAGAAATAGTATTAAATAGTATCAGAAAAGGAACCATTAGTTTGTAACAAAGGAAAGACTGCCACCTACTGAAAGAATGCATCATTTTTCAGAAGGTTTTCCCTAGATGGCAACAAGAAAGCCTTAAGTTCAGGGGCACCTAGGTGGCTCAGTCGTTAAGCGTCTGCCTTCGGCTCAGGCCATGGCCCCAGGGTGGCTCAGACCATGGTCAGATGACAAAAAAGTTCTAGAGTTGGATGGTGGTGATGGCTGCACAATAAAGGAAATGTACTTAACACCGCTAAACTGTACACTTAAAAATGGTAAATTTTATGTTGTGTATATTTTATCACAATTAAAACAAAAGAGAAGCATACAATATACCAAAGCTTTCTTTGGTATGAAATTTACTGCTGCCTAGGGAAAGTGTTAAATATTAGTATTTAAACATTCTCACCAGTCAAGGACCAGCTGCTGCAAAATAGGTGCTTGTATCTGTTCACATACTGAAATTCATATAGTCAAGAAAAAGAAATTTGAGAAGTTACAAAACCACCTGATTTAGTATAATCCTATTATTCATTATTTAAAATTAAGATGTGTATTTGTGGGGCACCTGGGTGGCTCAGTCGGTTAAGCGGCTGCCTTCGGCTCAGGTCATGATCCCGGGGTCCTGGGATCGAGCCCCATGTCGGGCTCCCTGCTCAGTGGAGAGCCTGCTTCTCCCTCTCCCTCTGCCTGCCTCTCCCTCTGCCTGCCTCCCTGCCCGCCTCTCTGCCTGCCTCTCTGCCTACTTGTGCACTCTCTCTTTCTCTGTCAAATAAATAAATAAATAAATAACCTTAAAAAAAAAAAAGATGATCACAACCTTATAAAAAAAAAAGATGTGTATTTGTGATTGTTAGGCATATTTAACATGAGCTACTTAAGTTTTTCACTATTTTTAAAATATGAACTTCTAAAAAAACTTAAATAGGATACCTTTATCTTATTTGTATACTTCATCTAATTGTTTTTTCCCAAAATTTAATGGGTAATATACTTATAGGGATAGGAAATTCAAAACACTATAAAAGAGTATATACTGAAAAATTGCATTCCCATCCCTGTCCTAATCCACCCTGGTCTTCCTTGCTCTCAAATAGGCAACTATTTTTTAATCTCCTAGTGTTTGATTTTGCAAATACTGGCAAACATGAATATATGTTACTTTTTCTCTATCACAAAAGATTGCTATATACAGTTCTGCCATCTTGCTTTTTTCCATAACAGGACATGGAGAGGTTCCTCTTTTTTCATTTTACAACTAGTTGCATAGTATTCAATTTGATGGCTTCGTCAGTCTACTTAACAAATCCTTTTTTTTAAGCTTTTTAAAAAAGATTTATTTATCAGAGAGAAAGAGAGAGCGCGCGCACAAGCAGGGGGAGTGGCAGGCAGAGGGAAAAGCAGGCTCCTTGCCAAGCAAGGAGCCAGATGTGGGACTCGATCCCAGGACCCCGGGGACCATGACCTGAGCCGAAGGCAGTCGCTTAACCAACTGAGCCACCCAGGCGCCCCAACCCCTGTTTTCTTTTTAAAAACACTGACAAAATAGACAATATGACACTATACAAATATAAGAGAATGAAAAAACCTGGAATTCAAATAGGGATGGTACAAAAATATTCAAAATATTTCATTCTATTTGATAATCTTTAACAAGACTCGTTTTACATACATTTTCAAACCTCTACCAACTGCAGAATAAGGTTTTAAAACGTTGTTTTTAATAATTGAAAAAAAATACCAACAGTCTAAAGTCCATCAATTGAACAAGTAAATAAATTGTTCATTCACGGAAGGGAATATCACACAGAAGTGAGGAAGAATGAGGCAGATTCAGATGTAATAACGTGGAACGCCATCCGAGCAACTTTGTAAAGGAAGTCAAGGGAAGAAGACTGTCCTATTTTATGGCGGGGGTGGGGGCACTGTTTGAAATGCTTAGAAAACCCTGCAAGGACAGAAAGCATTAAGTAGATGCCTTTCCTTGGAGACTGAGACTTGGGTGGGAGAGCAGAGAAGAAAAAAGGAATTTTAGTTCTCATTTTATATTCTTTTGAAGTATAAAAAAAATTAAAACTAACATATATAACATTTATACTTAAAAGTTAAACCTAAGTTTAGTACTAAGTACTAAGGCACTAAATAGGTTAACATATTTAAGTACTTTTTTTTTTTAAAGAGGAAAGAGAGAAAAAAAACCATGATCATCATGCCCAAAAGTTACCTGAACAATGGTGAATCCAGATCTGAGAATAATATCTTGTATCTCCTCCTCTTTGTCAGCAATATCTGGTTTGATAATAGCCAGAGTTTTTTCTACATATATCTGAGGTGGGGGCATTGACATCTCCATTCTGCCTTTTCAGGGTACAATTTAGGGGATTCTCCACAGGTATCAACTGCAATGACATGCATCATCCCCACCCCAAATTTTAATGTAATTGTGATGAAGAACAGCATTATTACGCGCTTGATGTTATTAATTTACAGTTAAAAACCGCTGAATCTTTTTCTATAAGCAGTGTCTCAGTAATACGATGTTGGGGAGCCTGGCTGGCTCTGTCCGAGGAGCATGTGACTCTTGATCTCTGGGTCTCGTGGGTTCGAGCCCCAGGTTAGGTGTAGAGATTACACAAATAAACTTAAAAAAAAAATGCCATTTCTACTCTACGTCTAATTCATGCCCTTGGTTTTCCTAAGCGCTTTCGTTGAGGTACAGAGGCCAAAGGGCAGTCTGATGGCCTGGCCCTGGCATGGACTCTCGGGACTGCAGGTGAAGACCGGGTCAGCCACTCCGCAGCAACTTTCTACCCAGCGGCAGGGAAGCCGTGCCCCCGTCCCCGCCCCTCCTGGAAGACCACACAGAGGGTCTGGCCTGGTTAGAAAGCAGAATCCCAGGTCCCAGTGCCTTTCCAAGGCACACTTGCAGATATACCGGAGTACAGCCCTCAACTGCGTACTCACCCGGCGCCCGCTCCGCCCGGCCACCGCCGCTTGTTGCTAGGAGACCCAAAGCACAGTTCAGGGACCGTGGCTGCAGAGGGCCAATCCCAGCACAGTGCGTCACAGACTCTGGGTGGTTCCTTTCAATCAAGAGAAGGAGCCAGCCTACAGCCGTCTTTATTCCCCCCTGCCAATCTTAGAGCACCAGACGTTTTCCAACATTCTCATCTTATTTCACCCTCCTTGTCATTTAAAGGACGCTTCAATTTTTTTTTAAAGATTTTATTTATTTGACAGAGAGAGACACAGCGAGAGAGGGAACACACAAGTGGGGGAGTGGGAGAGGGAGAAGCAGGCTTCCTGTGGAGCAGGCAGCCTGATGCGGGGCTCGATCCCAGGACCCCGGGACCATGACCCGAGCCGAAGGCAGACGCTTAACGACTGAGCCACCCAGGTGCCCCTAAAGGATGCTTCAATTATATCAACTTTATAATGAGACAAATCAGAGGCACTCCCCCTCATCCCACACCATCCCGTTTCAGACAGTTTATATAAGAAACCCACGTCAAATACCTTCAGTCATTCCACCAGATAGTGTTTTTATTCCCAGATTCTGTAATCATTAAAAAAGCAATCTTCGGGGGCTGGGGGATGGGTTAGCCCAGTGATGGGTATTAAAAAGGGCATGTTCTGCATGGAGCACTGGGTGTTATATGCAATGAATCATGGAACACTACATCAAAAACTAATGATGTATGGTGATTAACATAATTAAAAAAAAGAAAAAAACAATCTTCAACTTGTGAAATAACATTTATTTATAGAGCAGTTACAAAAGGCTTAATTTAGTTACATCTCAATCAAGCCTAAGAAACAAAGAAGTGAGCAACATTTACAGCATAACTCCAAATCTCAGCTTTCCCCGTTTTATATTATGTCCACAGACACCTTTGACTCCTTGGTTGTGAGTTAACATTTTTCTTAGTAGAAAAGACAACAGAAAACTGGTAAACAAGTACTGGGATCTTCTCTGAGTCTCAATAAGAGGTCCCAAATCCAGAAAAGGTCAGGACAGCAGCTCCTGGTTAACAGAAGAGGTTTTCCATCATCCACAGGGTTGGCTGGTTCTCATTCCAAACTATTTAAGTCTCTTCTTTTGTCTAACCAAATATTCAGCACCTATAGTCAAGGCAGATAGCAAGGTATGAATCTTAAAAACTATAGAGATTTGAATGCAATTTTCTTCTTCTGCAATGAGGTTTGATTATGCTTTTTTTCCTTTTAAGTATGGTCCTGCCCAGAAAAGAAACCCACAAATGTCACCTTCTGGCTCCACGTCTTACCCCTGTAGATGGGACAGTGTGAACATACATTAATATCAACAGGTGTAGCAACCAAAAAATGGATAATGATTCCAGCCTTTGGTCTGCATGTTTAGCCCTGTGACTTGAGGCACTGGAAGCAGGAGCTCCAGTTATTTATCTATCCCCAGCTCTCTTGAGACTTCTCTGCTGCCTGTCTTCCTACACTACTTTACTTCGCTATCTATGAAAGCTGGTCCTACAGAGACTTAGAGTTTTCCAAAGCAGTAGGTACAACGTCAATACCTCAGGGCCCTTAGCCACCTCTAAACATAAACTCTGAGAACACAAGGTCGCTTTAACATGACTCTTACTCTCACAGATTTTCTAAAATCAGATTCTAGAGGCTGTACTCCTTTTTCCTTACAGCTCTCTACATACAGTACCTGAATCTGCTCCAAGACTTCTCGCTCCATCTCCACAGCCATATGGTACACGTGATGATCAGAGTCATTGTACATCACAGCATTCTGGAACATCAGCATCAGGTCCCGCTGGAACTGAGCCATGGTGCGAATCCGTCCCTTAGACAGATTCCTTTTCAAGCTAGTTAAGTCCATGGGTCTGCAGGTGGCCAAGAGAAACCACAGGAAATCAAACCTTTATGTGGGACCCAACATGCTCTCTTGGAGAACCAGCTCTTAATTCCCATCAGATAATAAAATAGCAACAGCAGCTAACATTTGATTTTTTACAATAGGCCAAGCGCTTACCTTGCCAAGTACAAGGTACTTCCTATATTAATTCACTTCATCCTCTCAGTAAACCTATAAGCTAGGTACCTTATTATCACCAACCAGCAGTGGGTAACCAACGCTAAAGAGGTTAAGTACTTGTTCAAAGTCACACAGCTTGGATTCCAATTTAGAGGTAGCCTGACTCTGGAGCCCACAAACCCAGCCACTATAGGAGGGGTGCTGGCCCCACATACCAAAGTTGCAAAGAGCTCCAATGATTAGTCTGTCACAGAGGAGTTACTGACTGTTCACCATGTGTAGTCATATACTAGTTGTTTAATCTGCTTCTCTTACTATATAATCAAAAGCTAAGAATTTTTTTCTCCTTTTGTGGAGATGAAGAGTGTGAATCAAGTGAATGTTTAGATAAATAACTATTTGATGAGACACAGAGAGTGGGTATATAAGGGGAAGACACAGCAGTGTAGAAAGAGGACTGAACTAGTAGGTTAAGAATCTGGGGTTTAGTTCTAGCTCTGCTATTCACTGTTGATCACCCGAAGTCATAAGCACCTCTGAGCCTTACTTTCCTCACGTATAGAATGAAGGAGTCTGTCTGCAAAGGTCCTTTCCTGATCTTTTACACTCTATTAACACACTGGCTTATGACAGCATTTTAGATGAATTATGCTATAAAAATCCAAAATAGTGCTATCAACCAGTGTTTGTAACAACCATCTGGATTACCATCTTTGCCTTAGCATACCTATAATGGTTTTTTTTTTAATTTTTTTATTATGTTATGTTAATCACGTTACACCGTTAGTTCTTGATGTAGTGATCACTGAGTCACTGTTTGTGCATAACACCCAGTGCTCCATGACCTATAATGGTCTGATGAATATAGTGTTCGTTTTAAAGTTTTGCTCCAAAAGAACAGTATCAAAACTATCAAAGGCTACATAAGATTATGACGAATGGATATTACTTAAAAATCAATACTAAAAAAGAAAAAAGCCTATTACACCCTTTTGTTCCCTGTATTCCTTCTCAAATGAAGACCAAGCTTATCATAACTTCACAAACTTGCTCAGATGTAAAATACATCCTGCGTTTGTAAGTAATGCAATAAAATAAAGAAATGATCAGGGTGCCTGGCTGACTCGGTGGCGCATATGACGCTTGATCTCGGGGTTGTGAGTTCAAGCCCCATGTTGGGTGTAGAGATGACTTAAAAACAAAATCTTTATTTTTTTAAAGAAAGAAATGATCTAATAGACCAGAAATAAAGTATGAGAAGACAGATACAAAAGCAACCAACCTTTTCTGACCCCTTTTCCACTGACCTTTTCACCACATCCTTGTATCCTGGGGCCTGCCTTTCTGACACAGGCTTCAGAAAAGGATTGCTGAACCTGTTAAGGGACAATCTCTGAGAGGATAAAGAAACTCTGGAAAGTCATTATAAATGAAAAGAGTGGCTGTGAAGGCCAAGAGTGGCTTGGATACCTACCTGTGACTGGCCACCATCTTCCAGACTGGCAGGAGAGTCTTCTTAAATAACAAGTGATCCTGAACAGGGTGACTCTGGCCTAGATCAGACCTATGGGATGAAACGGACAGAAAGGAAACAGTAACTTCACACATGGTATTCTGTCTCTCCCAGGTAGGTAAAGAGATTTTCTCAATATATAGTGCTCCTTTTTTTTTTTTTTTTTTTTTTAAAGATTTTATTTATTTATTGGACAGAGAGAGATAGCGAGAGCAGGAACACAAGCAGGGGGAGTGGGAGAGGGAGAAGCAGGCCTCCTGCTGAGCAGGGAGCCCGATGTGGGACTCGATCCCAGGACCCTGGGATCATGACCTGAGCCGAAGGCAGACGCTTAACGACTGAGCCACCCAGGCGCCCTATAGTGCTCCTTCTTAATATGGGAAGGAACTAACACCAGAAATTAAAACATATTGAATGCTTCCATAAGAGACCCCAAACTCTACAAATATTCTCTTACTGGTCACTGTTACCTTATGAAGTAGTTACTTTCTACTACCAATCTACAATTGCTTCTGTCTTTTGGGCTCTTGCTGATTTGCTCTTCAGCACTTGTGACTCTAAAAAACTGGTGTATGAAAGTAGTCTTTGTTCACTGATGCTTCCCAAGTGCCTGGCACATAGTAAGGGCTCAAATATTTCACAGTATTAAGTATTTCAAAAATGAATCTGGTCCTACATTTATGCAGAAACATGCCACATTAATAAGTATTTCTCCTACATTTCCTGAGAAGGAAATACTTGGTTTCACATCTTAGGGAATTCTCTTATGTTTCATGTGAATGCTACATAATTTACATATTTCTCCTTTTCAGTAAGAAAATACCTAAGAAAAATTCATTTTTCCTCATGGCCCTTTCTTCTCTGGGCTAAATTGTCTAGTTTTTTTTTCTTCCAGGTGCTACTGTCCAATGTTTTATTTCATCTTATAATCTTCCCAGGTGACAAGTTTTCTCTTTACTCCAAAGTTTAACATTATGTTGTACTTCCCACACCTAATGTTTTACACTCTCTGTGTGCTTTATGTACCATACTGTGTGTGTCCATTTGAGCACAACTCACATCCCATTTTATCTTTCTACAAGTTGAGCAATTCCAAACAACTATCCAGTTTCAGGATATAGTATCTCATCTGCATCTATATTATATACACAAAAATCAACTTGTCCTTAAATCCAGAACCCTATCAGAACAAGGCATTTAAAGACCAAAACAAACCTCTTCCTTTGTTTCTGGTCAGTTGACAAGAATGAATAATATAGTTCCTTGGTACCAGGGTATTTTTGTTCATACAACCACACAACAGGTATTAAGTTTCCATTATATGAAAGGTACTGCCTTAGATTTTGTAACCTCATAATCGATCACTTTTGAAATATTTTAAGAAATAATCCCTAGCTTACCTTTATTTCTACCTATTTGGAAATGCATGCCAAGCAACTACAAGTAAAAATGTGGGAATGGAAAGGACCTGCAGGCTCAGAGTGGCGCTCCACATGCTCTACTCCTATTTTTCCTAAGGTTAGTACCAACTAAGGGAGAACCAAGAAAAGAGGAGCCTGGAGAATGTCTATCTTTCAAAGGAGTTTTAAGCTTGCCTGATTATAACATACGAACTCAGCTTTCTATCCTCCCCTTAAGCCATCTGGCCAAGGAAACTCAATTACTATTATCTATTGCTTTCTAATAAATATTCCATGTTTATCCTAAATCCTAAAACAAGAGTGTGGATTTTGCCATTCAAGGTACTAAAATGTCATGAGATAAAATGTCCCAGATTAGAGATTTCCTATTTTTTGGATAGTCATCATATGCCTGCCCTCTGCTCATACTTACACAGAGAGTTACAGAAAAGCAAAGGAAGCAATTCTTCAACAACCTAGGTATTAAGCTGTGTTCTACCTGCATAACAAAATTTTGAAATCTGCTACTTAAAAAACAACACTTCATGCTATCTTCTCTCAGTAGATAGATACAAGACCAGGCCCAGAAAAGGAACTGTTTATTACCATAACAAAAACAACTTTTTTTTTTCTGATTTAAAAAGAAATTCCCTTTACTAAAAAAAATTAAGATTCCAAGGTGTGCCCTTTAGCTTCATAATTATTTATAAGAAGATAATTATATAAACAATTTCCCAGGATCTGTGAAAAAGAAACAAAGGAGATCAAAAGTTCAAAATATTTTTTAATTTCAAGTTATAAGGAGCTATTTTAGTATTTTTGAAAGAATTACAGTTTCAGTATTAGACTTGAGGGACAATCTGAATGAGCAATGTTTCCTGAATAAATATAGTAATTAAAGAGAAAGGTTATTGAGGCACCTAGGTGGCGCAGTCGGTTAAGTGTCCGACTCTTGGTTTTGGCTCCATTTGTGATCTCAGGGTTGTGAGACCAAGCCCTACATCAGGCTCTGTGCTGAGTGCAGTTTGCTAACGTTTCTCTCTCCCTCTCCCTTTGACCCTCCCTGCTTCACACACGCTCTCTCGCTCTCTCTCTTAAATAAATAAATCTTAAAAAAAAATAGAGAAAGGTTATTTATGAAAGAGATTCTCAATGTTGATGAAACAGATTTTTTTTTAAAAGATTTTATTTATTTATTTAAGAGAGAGAGAGAATGAGACATAGAAAGCACTAGAGGGAAGAGGGTCAGAGGGAGAAGCAGACTCCCCGCTGAGCAGGAAGCCCGATGCGGGACTCGATCCCAGGACTCCAGGATCATGACCTGAGCCGAAGGCAGTCGCTTAACCAACTGAGCCACCCAGGCGCCCTGAAACAGATTTTTTTAAAAGTAGGCTCTATGCCTAACATGGGGCTCAAACTTACAACCCCAAGATCAAGAGTCATACACTTTACTGATTGAGCCAGGCAGATGCCTGAAACAGATTTGTTTTATAAGAGGAAAACATAAGACTTCTATTTATACAATAAAACTCTATTTAATTCTACTTCTAGGGTTTTCCAATTTTAATTTCCTTTTATTAATTTATAAAAGTAATCCATGTTCATGGTAATGAATTCAAATAGGGATAAACAGAAATAAAAGTTTGAATCTTAACAACCTTGGATAAAAATCCATACTTACAACTTTGAAGAGGTAGCACAGCTGAAAAGGGTATCCAACAGAGGAGTCTCCGGAATGCTGAAGCCATCATCACACTCACCTGAAGAGGGCTGGTCTCCCATCTCTGACACATACCCTTCACCCTGGTCCTCCTCTTCGGATTCTTGCTGAACCTCCCCCTGGGAATGCCAGGAAACAAAGAGAACGTTAGGAAGAGATTTACTATCTGCAAGGTAATTTTACTTGCATGGGGTAAGTCAAGGCTGACTTTAAGGTAGAAAGGCTCAAGGTGACTTAACTAGACCTTAGTCAATGAATTCTTGGTAACAATTTGGCTGGAGAACTGTGGTTCTGTACCCCTAGAAAAAAATAAAAAGAGCAATATACTAATTTCTAGATGGACGCTGTATTCTTTTAAAACTGTATGATTTGTGGCCCTGGAGTTGCTGGTCTAATATTCATCATAATGATATTCTAAATTTTATTGATTGCTCACTGTGAGCCAGGCACTAAGCAAAGTGCTTTACATGAAATGTCTCACTTAAATTTCACAGAAAACCTAACGTAGAGAGAGCACTACTATTCCCTTTACAGCAGAAAAAACTGAGGTTCTAAGATGTTTACTGACACACCTAAGGTCACACAGTTAAGTGGTGTTGAAACCTGGATTTGCACCCAGGGAGACAAACTCTCTGGGGTTAGCCTATGTGCAGTAACTACTGTGTTCTGCCTCCCTGGGCAGAGGACCAATCAGCCAGCTGGTTTAAGTTACTCACCTCTTCACTCTCCCTGGATAGTCGCTGAATTGCACAAATATCTGAGGGAGCTGGAGCCACCTCTGGCCTTCCATTTTCTCCCAGTGACTTCTCAGCTACCAAGGGTTCTACCCTTGCTGAAGGCTGTTCAGGCTCTCTGCATGACTCTTCTCCTTCAGTAGCTTCCATTTCCCTTCCCTTTTGTTGTCTGGTACCAGATGAAAGACAGCAACCTTCACTTGATTCTTTGCTGCTAATGCACAATGGCTCCATTAAATAAGCTACCTGCAATCATAGTATGAATAGGAACACCAGTAGAAACCATTATCTACATATCAATAATGTTACCTGATTACACTGCCACTATGACTGTTTGAGATGCAAACAGATTAACTCATCATTCTATCATTTAAAATGTGTAAAATAGGGGTGCCTGGGTGGCTCAGTCATTAAGTGTCTGCCTTCGGCTCAGGTCATGATCCCAGGGTGCTGGGATCCAGCCCCGCATCGGGCTCCCTGCTCAGAGGGAAGCCTGCATCTTCCTCTCCCACTCCCCCTGCTTGTGTTCCCTCCCTTGCTGTGTCTCTGTCAAATAAATAAAATCTTAAAAAAAAATAAAATGTATAAAATAGGGGTGCCTGGGAGGCTCAGTCGGTTGGGCGTCTGCCTTCGGCTCAGGTCATGATCCCAGGGTCCTGGGATTGAGCCCCACGTCGGGCTCCCTGCTCAATGAGGAACCTGCTTCTCCCTCTCCCTCTGCCTGCCACGCCCCCTGCTTGTGCTCTCTAATAAATAAAATCTTTTTAAAAAATAAATAAAATGTATAAAATAACTCAGATACCCAGATACTGAACTAGTTGCTAGGAACCTAATAGTAAACAAGATAGACATGGTTCTTGCCTCTTCAAAGAGCTTGTGCTCTAATTTTTCATGTCAAGTGTCAACTCTGATCAAATTGGGAATGGCAGTCTAGAAAACTGCTGAAAATTTTGTCCGCCACAGACGATGCAGAAAGAATTGGCAACACCATAAAATGGATTCTTGCTGATCTTAACCTAGGTTCTTCTGAATGTGTGAAGGTGCCACGTAAATATAGTGTCCAATTCAGTTTATTTCTGGCCTTCAACCCTAAACCAGGGTAGTAAGGACACTGTAAAATATTGCCTTGAAGTCATAATGTTATAACCCTCAAAAAGTTCAGGTGTCACCTCCCATGACTCCGAAAAATGAATTGCAAGAGATATTCATAAGGCAGTCCTGCATACGGAAATTCCACTTCCTATGACCTTGGGCTCCTAATGACTGGGATCTTAGAACATTCGGTCAGAAAGCACATATTCAGCACATATTGTGTATTAGCACCAAGCGCTAGAGTCGTAACAATTAACTTAGTTCCTGCCACTGTGGAGCTTGCATTGTAGTAAACAATATTAAGAGTGGTAGAGGGGTGCCTGGGTGGCTGTCGTTAAGCGTCTGCCTTCGGCTCAGGTCATGGTCCCAGGGTCCTGGGATCGAGCCCTGCATCAGGCTCCCTGCTCGGCAGGAAGCCTGCTTCTCCCTCTCCCACTCCCCCTGCTTGTGTTCCCTCTCTCGCTGTCAAATAAATAAATAAAATCTTTAAAAAAAAAAGTGGTAGAAATATGTATGGGCAAGTATTCTCTTAGAAAGTTGAGACTCTTTCAACTTTGGAAACAATGGTTCCCCATTACCTCAGAGAGAAAGTGGAGGAGATTCTGATGGCTGACTTGTTCTGCCTCTTCCTGAGATTCCTCACTGCCTCCGTCCCCCACAAGCAGCTCACTAGGTTCTCTCCCTGGGCTGCTTTCCTCTAGTTCCTCAGCCCCTGGCGCCTCAGTTTCTCTCCAGCTGCCCACATCAAGATCCAGACTGGAATCCCATGAGCTGAAGAGGGACCTGCAGTTGTTGCTCAGCTCAGAGTCATTGGGATAGTCTTGCTCCGAATTGAACCAAACCCACTCATGCCCCATCTGTAAATACACAGAAAAATGCATTAAATTCACTCATACCACTACTTCTAAGGCATTTTCATCTCCAAACTTCAGTGGAATGATAAGGGATCAAAAACTTCTTTCTACTCACCATGACAAAGAATAAAAGCTAGGTGAAGGGAGACATCAGGAGATGAAATGTTTGTCATTAGGAATAAAACGAAAAAGCCCCATGTCAAACAGTGTAACGTATTACCCAGTAATTTTTTTCTTGGGTTTCCTCATACTCCAAAAGAAAGGAACAGGAGCATAGCTAGTTGAACAGAATTCCTCTATCCCAAAATCATCCTTAAACTCAACTGGAAGACAATACATTTGAGGGATAAGAGATATTTTGCTCAGTGTAGACATTTTTAATCTACCAACCACTGAATCCTCAAAACATACTTTAAAATTATCTGTGGCATTCTTCTGGTCATATCCAACTCACTTCAAAAAAGGACTACAGTATCAAGTTTTAAAAGTATCTTCCCTTCCTCTCATTACACTACACTATCCTGGTTTTCTTACCCCTTTCTCCTCTCCCCCCCCCCCTTTTTTTTTTAAGTAGGCTCCATGCCCAGCATGGAGCCCAGCGTGGGACTCGAACTCATGACCCTGAGATCAAGACCTGAGCTGAATTGAACTCTTAACTGACTGAGCCACCCAGGCACCCCACTCCTCTCTTTTACAAGTTGCAGTTAATCCTTCTATGTTCTTGCTTGGCCTCTGCTTCCTCATTAAAACTTAATGTCTACGTTTTGAGGTTTCAACTTTGATCTCTACTCAAATAGCTCCCATATCTCCACCTTTACTTCTCATATGCTGGGCTAATTTTTTCCATGTATCCAAAGGTCAATTCCCTTTAGGTGCCCTACCCTCTGCTTCAACTCAACATTTCTAACTACAATCACTTCTCTTCCGATCTCCAAAATCATTTGCTTTCCCAAATTCCCTTTTCCCCCTTATCAACACTATTTTCCTAACCCTCTTTACTTCTCTTATATTCAGTAAGCAAGCCCACTTCTCAATTTCCAACCACAGTCATTTTTCCCAATGCCCATCCTCTGTTCCTGAATAAATGCTATAGCCTCCTGGTCAGTTTCTTGACCTTTAATCCCCAATCGGCTGTTAAGCACATCTGTTACCTTCTCTACCAACCCAAAGTCTGTATCCTTTAATGGATCTCCTCTACAATCTTCTCCCATTTTTAGGGCTTCACTGCTTGTATCACATGCCAGTTTATAGATTGCTTTGGGAATACACTATACTTTTCCTTTTTTTTTTTTTTAAGTAGGCTCCACGCCCAGTGTGGTGCCCAACTAAGGGCTTGAGCCTGAGATCTAGGCCTAAGTTGAGATCAGGAGTTGGATGCTTAACCAACTGAGCTACCTAGGTGCCCCTATACTATAGTTACTAATCTTCTAATTCCTGGATTGACTGAATTCCTTTCTATCACCCCACAAGACTGTATCTTCTACTTCCTTAGAATCCTAACAGACTTCACGGTTTAAGCCAGAAAGATCTGACTTCTAATATGTTTCTTAAACACATCTTTTTCAAGAAAACTCAATGCACTAGACAATTCCCTATTAATGTCCATTTCTGTATAATTAAAGGCTCATAACTGGTTCATTTCAGAGTTATTTTTATTTAGTAACAAAAGTTGGAATAAACTCAGATGATAAATTTCCTCTTAAACTGATTCTAGCCTTCAAATAGCAATGAATTCTAAACGACACAAGAACCCTACGTATAGAATCAGGAAGGAAATAGTGCCACACTGTTCCAGAAACACCATCTGCAAAGAGAGTACACTAAGTGGGACAAATGTCTGAGATAAAAGTCAGTGCTGCCTCTGTCCGTGCTCTAATCTTCATTAAAAGCAACGCCATGTACAGAACTCTGAAAAGTTTTCCCATTCAAGAAAAACTGAGTAAGATCATCCTCAATACACAATGCAACACTTTAAAACATTAATTATAAATTCAATCTTGGTTACTTACCTTCTCCAGGCTGTTGAACAGTTCATATTATAATACCACTTCTCCCCCCGATCATCTCATTTCCCCAGATGATAAAAAATTATCATGCAGAAAAAAAATCTCAAGTTTCTCACACACACATATACACACAGAACACACCAAAGGCTCGAGTTTTCTTTTCTTTCAGTTTATTGTGTACACACACACTTCACAGGTGTTTTTTTTTTTTTAAAAAAAAGTCTGTACACTTCACCAGACAGTACAAACTAGCTACAATATGCTAGCTACACATTAGGACATTAACACAGCCCATGATTTTTGCCCTACAACAGGCAACTGTGCTACTCCAACTCTCTGAGAGAGTTTCCCCAGCTCATGTCACATGGCCCAGGTGCCTCCTCTTCTGTAACTTCCACTTCTGGAACTGGGCCGACAAGCCCAAGCTCTATCTTGTTTACTTCTACTTCAGGTTCAGCTCAATGAGGATACTCTGAAGCTTCACTTTTTCATCTTCATATCTGCTTCAATGGCACAGCGGCGCCCCCTGGTGCCCCCATCCTAGATGACAGGCAGACAAAGAAAGGGCGCATGAGTGAGTTGATTAGGAGGTTAAGAGAAAAGTTGCAACAATGCTGGGGATGTGGTTTCTTGGGGAAGAAGGAAGAGAATCAGCAGAAAAATCCAGGAAATGAGAGGTACAGATCTATCTTCCCACAGAGTGGGCTAAAAAAACTCCTGGCAGTAGTTTGTGAGAGGAAAAGCAGGACAGAGTATTTTGCTCCTGCCCACCACAGAGGTAACTGGGGTTCACCTGGGGTCCCAAAGAATGACTATTAGTCATCCCACCCAGGCCCCAAACCGTGTTCAAAGGAACAGGCAGAGTAAAAGAAAGGTGGGAGGGTCAGAAAGGGTAGTGGGTAGTGAGATTCTTGGCTAACATACCTGTCCAGCTGTTGGTCCCTATAAGAAAGGCCTTTCCTGCAGACTGACCCTGGCACTAGTTCCCTAGCACCTCCTGACAGGTGTTTTCCATGAGATCAGGACAATCAGAAGGCTTCTTTCCATCTGCTGCTCTCTCCCTGCAGCCCAGCTCCTTCCTCTTGTGCAATATTTTGCTGTCTTCAATAGATAAAAGTTCCTATTAACCAGCTTTGCAACAGCCAGCCAATTGCTTGGGGATCCAGAGTCACTGTTGCAGGCCAGTAAGAAAGAAGGGAGATTACAGTGTTCCGTCCGTGGTACAGGCTGATGCCTGTAGGCAAGATGAATTAGTGAACACTTTCGCTGGGCTAGGCCATTTTTACATTTCTAACATGCAAGGACTCTAAAATTTTCAGAGCTCATGAACGTAAGTTGCCTTTGAGGCGACATTAAAAATAAAAATACCACCTTGCATTTGTTTAACACTTTAATTTTTTTTTTTAAGCCAGTTCCATACCTTGATCTCATTTTATCCTCACAACATCCCTGTGAGGTAGGCTGGACAGGTACCTCTTAAATTAGCTCCATCATACAGATGAGAAAAACAAGGTTCCAAGAGATAATCCGGTGAGTTTAAGATCATGTGGTTTTCGAGCTGATGCTCTTCCATTACATCATGCCTCAGTACCCCATAATGAACACAGAGTCAGAGGGTCGTTCAATTCACAGAGAACAACAGTAAGTCTTTAGGGCTAGCTTTACTAAGTTTATCTCAAATTCTACTAGCCACTACTGTATGCGGTACTCATTGTTACTAAGATCCTTATCTTAAATTTTACTGAGTATTTGTGTATCAGGCAACTTAACATTAGGGGAAGAGAAAAAAATTACGTGCTGGGTATTTGCTGGTATGAGGAACACTTATAAAAAGCCAGCTAGCAGCTGCTGCTCTGAGCAATCTTATTTGTAGAAAAGAATTGGCAAAAGGTGGAGTCAAAACTGAGGAGCAGGTACATCCCAGATCCTTACCAAGAATACCTCATTTCAGTCCAGTGAACTCATAAATAGTCCCTACCCAGCCCACACACACACACATGCAGAAAGACAGGAATGCAGAAAATGAGAGATTCTTATTCAACGACCTGAATAAAGAGAAGTTTAAGACATTGCCACAGTCTGCATGTTGAATTTCCCTCTGCCACCCACCCCCAGCAGGAGCTGAGAATCTTTGTGGCAACACCACCCCTTGCAGCCATTCAATACTTACAAAGAGAGAGAGAAGGAAGGCAGGAGAGCCCATGGGGACACTGTCCTGTTAGAGGACAAACAAACACTGATCAGGTTCCACAGAAACTCTCAGCCGCAAGCACCCCAAACCTCAGGACAGAGACACAAGCACCACACACACAAAGACAAAATTTAAAAACTCAAGAACAAGAGGAAAGAGATCCAAAAGCAGTCTGGCCATTATGCTTTCTGGAACAGGAACTGATGGTCCCCAACTGCTGCAAAAGTCATTTCCCCCACCTTGCAAGCACTCACTCAGAGAAATTAATAATGCACTCATTCAGCTCACAATTTTTCATGTGACTGACTAGGCATTTCAGTCACACCAAGTGTCTTCAACGCTTGGATGAGTACATCCAAAGAATTATATGTCTGTATACCACTGGAATACAGAAGCCCAGCAGTTACCAAGTACCAAGTAGTAACCTAAGGCTCCTTGGATGCCTCAGACTTCTAGCTCTGGAACACTGGTATAGAGGCTTTTTCTTGGTCTCCTCACCTTCTCTGAAGAATCCTGTTTGCGGGTAGAATCTCTCCCTCGAAGACTTTTAGCGCTGATTCCAGATTCAGATGTCTGCATAATCAACTGTGTGGCAAGGAATTGCTATAGGGAAAAAAAAGACAGTTGGCCCTTGAGACCTGATCCAGTAGGAAAGAATTAAGACAACTGTAGCTTCATAAATAGAACTTCATTTAATATCCGTCTGCAAACAGCATTCAAATACTTCTTGACTGATTCAAAGTTTAGCATATTAGGTTTTATTCTAGTTGTGCATGCTAAAGGATTTAAATGCCAAATATCTCTAAATTTTTGGCTGTAATACAGAATAAATCTCTCTTAAGAATGAGAAAGAGAAAAAAATCTACATGAACCAAAGGCCATTAGGTAATTTAACTTAGAAGACTATGCAGATATAGACAACATCCCTTGAAGTTCAATATCCCATAAGGGTGCCTGCTAATGTAACTATAGGACATAAGTAGATTATCTGTGATAAAAAGGAAGAAGAAACCATTTGTTGACAGTCAATTATGTATATACTTAATGTAACTTTAAAATATGCATTCAGGGGATGCCTGGCTGGCTCGGTCAGTGGAGTGTGCGACTCTTGATCTCGGGGTTGTGGGTTTGAGCCCCGTGTTGGGTGTAAAGATGACTTAAAATATGCATTCACCAGCTTTTAAAAAATTTACTTCCCCCAAATATTTAAAAACTTCCAGAAACTGAAGTATTTGCCCAAGAAAGGCAGAATATTCTCATAATTCTTTTACCAAACCAACATGAGAAAACCAACACAAATCCATCAAGAACAAAATTTTATGTTCCTGTGTCCCTGAAGACTATTCTAATTAAAAGCCACCAGCACCCTTTCCTGACATCAGTATGAATCCTTCCTCTGAGTATTTTCTTTCTTTCTTTCTTTTCTTAAGATTTTATTTATTTGACAGAGAGAGAGTTAGCGAGAGCAGGAACACAAAGAGGGGGAGTGGGAGAGGGAGAAGCAGGTTTCCCGCCGAGTAGGGAGCCTGATGCGGGGTTCAGTGACCTGAGCCGAAGGCAGATGCTTAATTAACGGATGAGCCACCCAAGGGCCCCCCCCACCACAAGTATTTTCATTTCATCCTTGCTAAAACATTAAAGATCCTCAAAGTACCTGAATCTGCTCTAAGACATCTCGCTGCATTTCTACTGCCATATGATAGACATCGTGGTCTGAGCTGTTATACATTACAGCATTCTGGAACATCAGCATAATATCACGCTGAAATTCAGCTGTGCTGCGGATCAATCCATTTTCAATGTTTTTCTTAATAGTTGACAAATCCATAGGCCTAAAAACAAAACAACAGCAACAGGTAAATGGAGGGGAAGAGGAGTCAACTGGATCCAAATCTTTTATTACCACACTTATCTTCTCATACATACCCTTAGTCTTAGCTGCCAGGACTGAAATGCCAAGCCCTCACCCCACAACATGCACTTAATCCAAAAACCAAAGTCAACCTTTATAATAAGTATCAGCTAAGAAAGGTAATAAAGAGGGTTAATTCTTTTAGACTATCTTTTGTGATCCAGCCACTGAAATGATCAACTTACCACTTGGTCACCTTTACTCACATCAAAAACACTTGCTTTAAATATACCGTCTAAAGTAAAAATCCACTAAGACTGAACAACTTACAATTCAGGCAAGTCAGCATGCTGAGAGGATAATGGCTTACCTCTGTACAATGCTATGGTAGCCAGGTGCTATATCATCTGTAACAGGCTGCAGGAAGACATTGGCATATCTGTCCAAAGAGAGTAAGGTGCAATTACTGACTTATCCTTCAGAAGCAGAGGTGGAGGGCATCTGATTTAAGTAGCTGAAGGTTGTAAAAGTCAAAGCCCCCAATCCCATATAAACACACCCAGACTTTTTCCTAATCACTAACACTGAGGAGGAGCAGGAGAAAATGTTCCTACTGATTGGTAAAACTCACCTATGATTAGCTGCAGCTCTCCATACAAGCATGATAGCTTTCTTCCAGATTTTCTGTGCCTGAATAGCTTCCTGATCTTCACTACAGACAGAGCTGAAATAAAAGAAACAAAGGGGTCCCACTAGGCATAAGTCAAAAAAAAAAAAAAATCCTAATCATTTTTTTGTCAACTATTAGTTCCAGGCCAAGAAAGGGAAGAAGAAAAAGTAAGACTGAAGGAAAAGATCTTCTACTTCTCATCTTCACTGTCTTGACCTCAAAGAAGAATCTCAGATACTCACAACTGCGAAGATGCAGGGCTGCTGGGGATGGAGTCTGCCAGTGTATGGGACTGCAGGGTAGCATTGTGAATGCTAAAGCCATCATCACTCTCGCTCACGGGGGGTTCATTATCCATTTCTGACAAATAGCCTTCTCCTTGATCTTCTTCCTTAGCCTCCTCTAGGCTGGCCGCTTCACTGACTCCATCTTCCTCCTCATCCTCACCTGGGGCATCCTTAGACACAGTGTGCTCCGGTCAACAAATGCAAGCAAAGCTATCCAGCAAAGCATCATTAAACACGATCTTTTGGGTTAGATCAGTTCTAGAAAATGGCCTCACACTGCGTCCTGACTGAGCCCTCTATCACTTATACTACCATCTAATGTACACTCACCGTTTAAGTAATATAGAACCTGGACAAAGAATAAGACCCAGGATCTTTTTAAAAGGAAGAAAAAAAAAGCTACTTACTTAAGACTAAGCTAAGTGGCGTTCCTTCTTTCCCCTTGCTCTTGAGAGGAACTCTGACCCTGGATACAAAGTTATCAAAAATAGTTTTTATTTTGTGTCTCCTCTGATGGAGCAAGCTCACATCGCATTACTTTAAATCTGTTTGTTACTACTACTTTAGTAACTCTAAAAAGAAAATTCTGGATAATTTTCCTTGGATAGTCTAACTAATAATCTGATTTCTCATATGTTCTCCCTGACTCTGGCATCCCTAATTTACTCCAAATCACTCTGGAGATCTCAAAGCTTCGCTGTGCATTATGTGCATAAGAAAGCTCTGTGTGATGTTCACAAACTCTTTCAGATGGGAAGCACATGTGGCCACAGTACTGCCAGTATGCCTAACTGTCCACTGCAACTTTTCCCCATGCAACTCCTTACCAGTCTCATCTCAAAGAATAAGATGCACGTTTACTATAACTCATTAAAAAGGTAGTGCTATCGGGAAATCTAGTCACACAGCAAGAGGAATAAAGAAAAGTCTGAAATACCTTTATCTGGCTTCCAAAAATAGTCCCTGATTCTTCTTTCAATGAGTCTGCAGAGGAGAGAAAGACTACCTGAAGATTTTTCCACCTTAGCCTTCCCCTTCCTATGGACAATAATCCCCTGCAGCTCTCCTTTCCATGCTGACCTATTCTACCTCCTCTACTTGCCCACAACCCACAATCCCTCAGAAGCCAAAGCAAAGGATTTCAAGTTAGTTACAGAGTACAGATATCCTGGCCTTATTATTTACCTGACATTTCAAACTTGTGCTGAGTCTCTGCCTCTAAAGGATCTTCGATGGGATTGGAGCCATGGGATGGAGACAACATGCTTTCAGGAGATGCCTGAAGACCAAAAAGAATAAATACCCTAAGTACCGATACATCACTTCAGCTGACAGTTTATTTTTCAATGACGAGACTACAGAAGAAATTAGTCCTGCCCATGTAACAGGAATCTAACGGTCACCTTTCAAGGAACAGGATAAGCTTATATAGCCATAATCATACCTGTGGGCTTTGGACACATCAACCATGTGAGAATTCAGGAATGCAAGAGGAAAACCAAAGGCCTAAACAGGCACTTCTTACCTAAGGTATAACCCTTCATCCTCCCAACCCTTGATTTTAAATACCTCTGTCTTCACAGTTGTAAGTGGAGTCTCATCGCCTTTCCCACTGGAAACATCTGCTTCAGCAATCTCTCCAGTGGCAATACTTCTAGGTTCCTCGTCTAAGTCCTGACTCCTGAGTTCTGGTGGCTCCACACTTGGGGCTGGAACAACTCCAGCTACTATTTCAGGACCTGAGATGCCTTGTTCTGGTTCTGCAGGTTCCATTTTAATCTCAACACTGGGCTCCCTGATGTCTACCAGTTCATGGATTCCTTTGTTTTCTGTTTCCTCAAAGTCCAGCCTTTCCTGCTTGACTGTCATCTCTGGTGCAGGGAGAGATACTGGCTTGTCCCGCTCCTGCTGGATAGGGTGCTCCCAGGGGCCAGGCAGGGACTGGGGATCATCATTTTCTTCACAGAATGACAGTGCCGCTTCTACTGCTGCCACATCCAGCACTTCAGGATGATCATCTACCTGTCCCATAATACACACACTGTTGAAGTCACAGAAATAAGCCCAAGTCCCTCAATTCTGTTAGCACCAAATGAGATGGCCTCAATCTGTAGCTTCTCTCTCCATCTTCTCCATATAGAAGCAACCAATGGACAGGCTCCTGTCCTGAGCAAACCAGAAACACAGGGATGGCTGGGGAGATGACCAGTGTGAGCACCAAAGGGCTTTGGGACTAAAGAGATGGAGATGGACAGAAGCAGAACTGCTGTTTACGAAATTCTTACTAGAAGAAGCAAGGAGAAGCTGAGGAGAGAAGCCTATGTAGGACTCATGAGATTCTTTTGGGCTTTGCTGAAAGTTACCTTGTCCTCAATGATGGCAATGATGTCTCCAACAGTCTCAAAGTCCAGCTCTTCACCTGTGTAGGACACAGCAATATCCATCTTCTCAGCCAGATCTAAATCTTCCTTCCCATCTATACTGGGAGGCTTTGATCCCCCAGGGGCCTCTGCTACCCCTGATCGGAAACACTCTTCTTTGATAGAATTGATGATCATAGAGATTTCGCTGCTATCCATGGAAACAGTCACAGTATGTGGGTCCCCCACAGCTTCCATGGGAACACAAGTGTCCGGCTGACTCACTGAATAACAGTAAGAGAAAAGCATTTCAGAACCTCATTTGATACCAAGTGACCACCTGGACATCAACCAAAGCTATAGACAGGTGTCAAGTACCCACACACTTAAGCTCAGAAAAAGTTACCTTAGATCTACATCTTTGTATGTTTTCTTCTCCCCAATTTTATCTAGAAAGTAGGGTGAGAACACATTCTCACGCCCACTCATATTTGTATATTTAACCCTTTTCCCCCAAAACGTAAATGCCCACCCACATCTTCTCAAATTCTTGTTTTTCTAAGGATAAAGACAGTACGTGTCCATAGAGAACAGAACAGAAGCATCTGAACTGGAGTTGATGCTCTTGGGTCAGCTTTCTCTGACTGAAGCTCAAAATGAAATTTTGGACCTAGTGGCTGCTCAGGGCGTGGGTCAGGGACGCACCTGGAGCTACACTCTCAGGAGTGGAGACAGCTGGAGCAGAGGATGGTGCTGGCAGCGCAGGCATCATGACAATGGTAGCCTGGGACACAGACTCTACAGGGGGTGGCACAAGTTTAACTGGAGGTTCACTGGCAACAGTAGTGAAGGAAGCAAGAGGAGTGGTGAACTGTGTAGGACCAGCTTCTAAAAGCCGGGAAAGAGTGGGAGCACCTAACAAAGAGGTACACAAAATGAGGTAAGAGGAAAGCACGTGAACAAGAAGCAATAGCCACTTTAAGACTCAACCAAGAAAAGTTTTAGTCTCAAAGAATGAAAGAAACTCCTCTGTCGAATAAGCTCATTATCTATATCCTTACTTTTTCCAACCTTACTAATAAAGATCTTCTTCCAAGTTACGAATGACCCAAAGCACTAGAACACACAATGTGTGTGAAAAATTGGTGGTAGTTTTAACCCCAGAAGAAAATTTAACAGTAACAACAAAATCACGAAAAACTGGTATGAATAAATCTGTCACTTCTGAAGTTAAGCATGCTATAAACCACCCAAACTCAACACCATTCAAATATCCATATCTAAGGTTTAATATTTTGTAAAACTTTTTTTCTTGCTTTACTTTTTCTATCTCACTTAATTCTCATAACATCCTTGTGAAGTACACACACTGCAATTAATAAAAGAGGAAACTAAGGTTCACGAGTTAAATCATTTATCCAAGGCCACAAAATCAGTATGTGGCAGGCTTGACACCTAAATCCAGCTCTCTGGCTTCAAATCTGAATCCCCTGTACTATAACCTCAGGTATCCCAGGAAAAATGCACTTTCCATAATTTTGCAAGCGCCAGGGAAGCAGCTTCACTACTAACCTCACTCTTCTCATCGATATCTATGCTGTAGTCATCCAGAGCTATCAGTACTTTGAAGATAAGAATGGATTTACAATCTGGGGCACTATGTGGTTCAACAGATAAAGTAGCACCAAAAAAAGTTGGGCTTCACATTTACGATTGACAGGTGCTTACTACTGGAGGCTAGAAACCAAAGACAGTCAAAACTAAGATCAACTGTGAAGTCTGTGAAGTCAAGTAGGTAACGGCAAAGTGTTGACTTACCTGAGGCAGCAGGGGAGGCCGCAACAGTGTTGGGTGTTTGCTGCATTTCCCCACCATGTATCATGGGAAGAACCCCGCCTACCTCCAGGAGGACACCTGTACTGTTCAAGTGGCCAGAAGCCACAGCCATTTCACTCTCATTGACCTACCAGGGAAGAATAGAGGTGAAGGCTACACTCAAGCTTTCCTTTACTACCACTTCCCAAAAAAAACTCCAGCAGTTGACCAAACTTCATGAAGTTAATATCCAAAGAGAATAATTTCAGACCCAAGGGAAGCTCTAATTTTTAAAACTTATTTGACAAGAGTTCTCCGGAGAAGAGAACTGAAATAATTGTGGTTTCAGATAACTCAGGACCCAAGGATACTATCAACTTACTGGTTTTTTGTTTTGGTTTTTGTTTTTTAAATTAACATTTAATTAGGAGCTCTCTTTCTCTTTTGAACTTTTTTTTTTCCATGTCATATTTTCGGTCCCAGGCACTCCCTTCCAAAGTACTAAATCACCACAGCTCTCAAACACCCACAGAAGTCTCCATACCAGTCTGGGGCTAGTAGGCAGGAGGCTGCCCTTCTTCAAGAGCTCTGACAGCAGAGGGGAGGGGGGTGGAGTTGCTTTCTGTCCAAGCATCTTTTTCTGGGGTGAATCATCTGTTACTGGGGTCATGGGGGCTTCTAAGGGTGCAGAGCCTGGAGGAAGGGTGTCAGGAATCCCAGGAAACGAGGTGACTGGGGTACTCGGCAAAGTCCCAGGGGTTACCTAAGAGACAACAGAGAACCTTTATCTGACTTCTCAAACTCTGGAAGGTTCCCTACTAATCCGGATGGGTTAGTGTGTCTATTACTTTATTAGTCCTGAGTGAAAATGCCCAGAAACCCTCTACCCCTCCTGCTCTCAGCCACTCATTTCTTCCCCAGTTTTTTCTCTTCCACCCACTCAAACCCACAATGATCCAAACATTCCACCCAACCTGCCTTTTACAATCTGCTTATCCACTACCAATATTCTATTTACAAGAAAACTATCGCTTACTCCCGGAGGACTTTTATAAAACTAGTTTACTTACAAACAATTCTGTAATGTAATATTTTACCTATCTCTCAAAAGGTCAAAAGGCTCAATGTTTTTAGGTCCATCCTTATCTTAGAGCACAGAACATGGCAAATTAAATCTTTAGCATTCAGACCAAGAGAGGAAAATGCCTCTAAGCCAAAAGTGGTTTCCTCATTACTCAGCTCTCTGCTGGCTTATTGCCCCTTTGCTGATCAATTCCTGCAGGTAAAAACATACTCACTCCAGAGGTGGCCTCTTCCATAGTGGTTGCAGTCAAGTCTCCAAGTGGATAATCACCTCCTGGGGAGGCAGAATCTATAGGAGAGCGGACCATCACGGTGGGTAATCTCCGAGGGGGTGTTTTTACTGCTTGACGAGCTAGAACATAAAAGACAACAATTACTAAGTCTTCAAGAGTAAATAAATGGAAGTAAACACTACTCTATTATAATAAAGGACAAATGGGGATGTTGCAGAATTAAAGCAGCATTACAAGTTTGGATTAGAAACCTTTTAACACTTCTGGGAGACAGGTTACTCACTAAGCAAACTCACTGAACTATCTCAAAGGTCCCTGAAGTAGGAAAGTGGTTTAAACATTCCTCAATATCCTCTTCAACAAGTTATTAAGTTTCTGCTTTTAACAAGAGAGAAAGACCTCACTGGCTCAGAGCATGTATTCCTAGACTTACAAATGGTTAAGTTCTTATCCAATGAGTTGGCTATTATTAATCTTCTTACAGGGCTTTGAATTCTAAAAACTTAATGATGTTCAACATCTATATGATAAAGCTCTTGTGTCCTAAAAGGACCCAAAGTCTAGGGAGAACTGAGCAGAACTCATTTTCCAAGAGCTTCTTTCTTGGATATAAAGTGATGTTTTTATTCTGGTAAAAGAGAAGAGGACATAGAAAAGCGCACAAGAAAATCGGCATCAGTAGATTCTATCTTACAAGGTAGTGTTCAACTGTTACTAGCATGCAGTACTGTATAGTTAATTGTTAAACAGTCAAAAGGTTTGGTTTACCCTGATATGCAGCATCCGTAGCCTTCCTCTTTACTTCAGCCTCCTCTTCCTCCAATTTCTTTTTCCTAAAGAGGGAAGTAAGAGTATGATCCTAGCCAGCTCTAGTTCCTCTGTAGGTCACAGTGCCCTCACAAGGAAATTTTTTGCCAGGCTAGCACAAGGCCTAAAAAAGAATCTTTACCAGCAAAAGAGGAAATGTTTTTAAAATAAAAAAAAAAAAAATTTTTTTTAAAGATTTTATTTGTATGACACAGAGAGAGACAGCAAGAGCAGGAACACAAGCAGGGGAAGTGGGGAGAGGGAGAAGCAGGCCTCCCGCCGAGCAGGAAGCCCGATGCGGGGCTCAATCCCAGGACCCTGGGATCATGACCTGAGCCGAAGGCAGTCGCTTAACCAACTGAGCCACCCAGGCGCCCCTTAAGATTTTACTTTTAGGTAATCTCTACACCCAATGTGGGACTCAAACCCACAACCCCAAGATCAAGAGTCGCATGCTCTACTGACTGACTAGCCGGGCACCCCCAAAACGGGAAAATTTTTAGTGTACTGCCTAACTGCCAGTTCTTCATAGGCAAACTGAAGCACCTTTCAAGTTAAAACTAAGTTATGTCCTCACATTGAAATATTCTATCACATTACCTTCTTTTTTTTTTTTTAAGATTTTATTTATTTATTTGAGAGACAGAGAGAGAATGAGAGATAGAAAGCACGAGAGGGAAGAGGGTCAGAGGGAGAAGCAGACTCCCCGCTGAGCAGGAAGCCCGATGTGGGACTCGATCCTAGGACTCCAGGATCATGACCTGAGCCGAAGGCAGTCGCTTAACCAACTGAGCCACCCAGGCGCCCTATCACATTACCTTCTACAAGTCACTCCCCCCTCCCTGCTACTAGGCCACTCTGCAGCTTTTCCCTTCCAGAATCACTCAAGTCTAAAGGGATGGCGGATGGAGGAGATAAACCAGATTACTTGAGGTGAAAAGGGAGTAAAACGAGAGAGAGGTGTACAAAAGGAAGAATAATATAACCCACATCACAATGTCATTGCAAAGCTCATCCAGTCGGCTGTCCATGTGCCCAGCTTGAATTAGTTCTGCATCTCTTTTCAGCCGTCTAGAAAGAGAAATCAGTTACCTGGGTTTTTCAGTCTACTATTTAAAAAATTCTGACCAGTATAAGAAGTCAGCCCCTTTGGTCTCTCCCAACCACCTGGTATTCTCTCTGATAAGTACCTATATTTTTCTTGGGTTTCCTTTATCACTTTCTTTAGTTCCTCAACTCGTTCAGCAGTCAATTTCCTAACAATGACATCTTCAACTGTTTCAACCACTTCTCCCTTTTCACCCCGTTTCCGTCTGTAGAAAATTTAAAAACAAAAACATACATTTGAATAAAAGAACATCTGTTCCCACTCTCAACTGCTTTCTTTGAGCCTCTCCACCATTTAACCATAGATAACTTCTGCTTTATTTTTAATCACCCAGTAATATTAATAGATATAAACCAAACATCCTCAGTGAACACTTTCCACTAAAGAGATGTGGCTTGAATGCCTGGCTTTGTACTCACTTTGGGGTCTCAGTGGTCTCTAGAAGCTCTGAGTACTGGGAAGCACAATGCTATGGAAAAAAAAATAAATATATAAAAATATGATGAGCAAGCCTGGAGCAACCTTTCAAAGTTTTACCATATCAGACTAGGCTTAGAGAGAACTTTATGTAAGGTATGAGTGGTTTCTAGGAGGGCAAGTTACTCTGCAGTCATATCAGTTAAAAATACTCAATACCAGGGGGCTCCTGGGTGGCTCTGTTGGTTAAGCATCTGCCTTCAGCTGAGGTTATGACCCCAGGGTCCTGGGATTGAGTCCCCCATCAGGCTCCCTGCCAAGCAGAGAGTCTGCTTCTCCCTCCAGCAACCCCTGCTTGTGATCTCTCTCTCTCTCAAATAAATAAAATCTTTATAAAAAAAAAAACAAAATACAACTCAATACCAGGACACAGAAAAGGAGTTTTCTGACCTAGAATTCGTATATTTGGGGAAAAACAACCCAATAGCCAATATTTAGAGTTAATATCTACTGAGTAATCACCATATGCAAGGCAATGTGTTAAATGCTTTATAGGTATTACCTCGACCAAAACTTTAGAACAATCCTGAAGCAACTTTTTTTTTTAAAGATTTTATTTATTTATTTGACACACAAAGAGAGATAGCGAGAGAGAGAGAGAGAGAGAGAGAGAACAAGCAGGGGGAGCGGCAGGCAGAGGGAGGAGGCGGCTTCCTGCATGAGCAGGGAGGCCGATGTGGGGCTCGATCCCAGGACCCTGGGATCATGACCTGAGCTGAAGGCAGTGGTTTAACCAACTGAGCCATCCAGGCGCCCCAATCCTGAAGCAACTTTTATCTCTACTTTACAAATGAGAAAACTGAGAATCATGGTTCAAAGATTCTAAATGAAGTGATATTAAACCCAGATCTTCTAACTCCCAAGTTTAGACTCTTATATATTATGTTACACAGATAAGAAAAGTTTATGATATGAACATACATTGATGAACTGGCAAAGAGTAGGAAAAATGAAAAGGTATTCTCAACTATGCTTCCTCTTCACAGTATAAAAGCCTTGTGATTAAAGGGCAGGGCCTGGAAGGGAAACCCACTTCACATCTCTAAGATTGCTCTAAAACAGCACTTGCCGGGGTCCTGGGTGGCTCAGTCATTGAGTGTCTGCCTTCAGCTCAGGTCACAATTCCAAAGTCCAGGGATCAAGCCCCGCATTGGGCTCCCTGCTCCATGGCGAGTCTGTTTCTCCTTCTCCCTCTCCCTCTGTAGCTCCCCCTTCTTGTGCCCTCTCACTTGCTCTCTCTCTCAAATAAATAAAAATCTTAAAAAAAAAAAAAGATAAAACAGCACTTGCTTGGGAACTTACTTTTTGAGAGAACCAGTCTGGAGGGCGGCCAGGTTCTGCAAACGGCTTGATAGCTCTGCTAACTGATACCCTACACAAAATGAGAAAAGGCTATTACACACTAAATAGGAGGGGAAAAGGGTGGTGGGGGGAAGTATGCTAAGAGTTCAAGGTCTGGAGTACAAAATTTAGAATGATAAACTGCCACCAGGAAGTACTCGGAAACATGTGACCATGGAAAATGACACAACCACTTAAGGGGGGACACCTGGGTGGCTCATTCAGCTAAGCATCTGCCTTTGGCTTGGGTCGTGATCTCAGGGTCCTGGGATCGAGTCCTGCATCGGGCTCCTTGCTTTGTGGGGAGCCTGCTTCTCCCCCTACCGCTCCCCCACTTGTGCTCTGACAAATAAAAAAATTTCATTTAGAGGGAAAGAATCATTGCGAAAAAGTTTTCCTAGGTGATATATTTCCTGGGTGAAGTGAAGGTATTAGAACTTAGTACATTATCATTCCTGCTCATTTGGGCAAGCATTTTTATGTTGATTTTGATTCTTTTAGAAGAAATATATCTTTTGAAAAGCAATTTGTAATGTATTCTAGACTAAAGTTATCTTTTGATCCACTAATACAACTCCTAAGAATCTATTAATAAAAAATAATCTAACAAAGAAGCAAGTATCAAGAAGAAAGCACCACGCAGACGTGATCAGACTGAGGAGCAGTAGGTTTTTCCTAAATGCCTGCAAGGGATGTTTAACTTACAGTACTTCACCTCTACAAAATATTAAGTAGACCATAAAAATAATTATAAAATATATGTGGTGAAATGGAAAATATACACCACATAATATTAACTGAAAAAAAAATGACACAACTATGATGCAATCATGCAACCTATTAAAAGTTGTAAAGGTAAAAATAAAAACAGGACTAGAATGGGATCAAGGAAGAGTGTGGGACTTTAATTGTGTCTATGTTTATTTCTTGAAAAAGATCCAAAGTGGGGCGCCTGGGTGGCTCAGTCAGTTGAGCATCCAACTCTTTTTTTTTTTTTAAGATTTTATTTATTCATTTGAGAGAGAGAAAGAAAGAAAGAGAGAGAGAGAGAGAGAGAGCACAAGAGGGGGGAGCGGGAGAGGGAGAAGCAGACTCCCCACTGAGCAGGGAACCCGATGTGGGACTCGATCCCGGGACTCCAGGATCGTGACCCGAGCCGAAGGCAGTTGCTTAACCAACTGAGCCACCCAGGCGCCCGAGTGTCCAACTCTTGATTTCGTCTCAGGTCATGGTCTGAGGAATCTGAGATTGAGCCCTCTGCTGAGCTCAGAGCCTGCTTGAGAGTCTTTCACCCTCTGCTCCTCTCCCTGCTCATACACGCTTACTCGCTCTCTCTCAAATAAATAAAATTTTTAAGTCTTGAAAAAGATCCAAAGAAAACATGACAAAATATTAAGATCTGTTAAATCCAGGCGGGGTACATGGATACTCTATATTATTCTCCACACTTCTTTATGTGGTTGAAAAACTATGTAACTTTATTTTTTAAAGACTCTATTTACTTATTTGAGAGAAAGAAAGAGCATGAGTTGGGGGAAGGAGCAGAGGGAGAGGGAGAAGCAGGCTCCTTGCTGAGCAGGGAGCCTGATGCGGGGCTTGATCCCAGGACTCCAAAACTATGACCCAAGTCGAAGGCACACGCTTAACCAACTGAGCCACTCAGGCGCCCCTAGAATTATTTTATAATCTCAGACGAGGGTAAAACTTTCTAAATAGGTCACAAAATCTAGGAACTGTTAAAAAAATTAATAAATAAACTACATTTTAAAAGTCTTAATGGCGCCCCTTTAAGGCGCCAGGGTGGCTCAGTCAGTTAAGCATCTGTCTTTGGCTCAAGTCATGATCCCAGGGTCCTGGGATCAAGCCCTGCATCGGGCTCCCTGCTCAGTGGGGAGCCTGCTTCTCCCTCTCCCTGTTGCTCCCCCTGCTTGAGTCAAATAAATAAAATCTTTTTTTTAAAAGATTTTATTTATTTATTTATTTGAAAGAGAGAGAATGAGAGATAGCACAAGAGGGAAGAGGGTCAGAGGGAGAAGCAGACTCCCCGCTGAGCAGGGAGCCCGATGCGGGACTCGATCCCAGGACTCCAGGATCATGACCTGGGCCGAAGGCAGTCGCTTAACCAATTGAGGCACCCAGGCGCCCTCAAATAAATAAAATCTTAAAAATAAATAAATAAAGTCTTATTATATAAGGAGCCCTTCCCCAATTAAACAGAAAGACTAATAAACAGAAAAATGAGAAAAAGCAGTTTACAAAAAAAGAAATACAAGTGGCTCCTTAACACACGAAGATATTCAACCTCACTCATCATAAGATAAATGTAAATGAAAAACATGGAAACTATTTCTCACCTTTTATAATACTGTCAAACATCAAAAATATCTAACAACCAGGACATAAAAAAAGAGGCATTCTGATATATTACCGATGGGAGTATAAAGTGAAACAAGCTGAATAGGGCAATTTGAAATATTTATTAAACTCTAGGAACACATATACTCTTTGACCCAGTAATTCTGCTTTCAGTTAATATATAACTATGCAAGGTTATATCTGTATTAGCAAATTTCCAAAATAGAGTACCAGTTTATTTTCTTTTTTAAAGATTTTATTTATTTGACAGAGGGAGAGCACAAGCAGGGGGAGCGGTAGAGGGAGAAGCAGGCTCCCCCACCCCCTCCAGCAGGGAGCCCGATGTAGGGCTCAATCTGGGGATCCTGGGATCATGACCCGAGCCAAAGGGAGATGCTTAACCAACTGAGCCACCCAGGCACTGCTAGATACCAGTTTAAAAAAAAAAAAAACAGAGTACCAGGGACGCCTGGGTGACTCAGTCCATTAAGTGTCTGCCTTTGGCTCAGGTCGTGATCTCACCATCCTGGGATCAAGTCCCAAATCGGGCTCCTCGCTCAGCAGGGAGCCTGCCTCTCCCTCTGTCTGAAGCTCCCCCTTCCTTATGCACATGTGCTCTCTCGCTCTGACAAATAAAATCTAAAAAAAAAAAAAAAAAAAAAAGTACCAGTTAAATAAATTATGGTGTATCTGTACCAATACCATGCAGCTGCTTAAACAGAGTGAGAGCTTCATATATACTAAGTTAAAGTAAAAAAGAGAAGCAGTGGCAAAATACTGATACATACAGTATAAAACCATTTTGTGTTTAAAAAGTAGGGGGATAAAGAAGACATGTATTTGTTCATGTATATAAAATTAATGCTAGAGGGACACCTGGGTGGCTCAGTCGGTTAAATATCTGCCTTCGGCTCAGGTCATGATCCCAGGGTCCCGGAATCGAGTCCCACATCGGGCTCCCTGCTCCAGCAGAGAGCCTGCTTCTCCCTCTGCCTGCCCCTGCCCCCTGCTTGTGCTCTGTCCCCCTCTCTAATAAATAAATAAATCTTTAAAAATAAAAACAAGGGTGCCTGGGTGGCTCAGTTGGTTCAGCGACTGCCTTCGGCTCAGGTCATGATCCTGGAGTCCCGGGATCGAGTCCCGCATCGGGCTCCCTGCTCAGCAGGGAGTCTGCTTCTCCCTCTGACCCTCCCCCCTCTCATGTACTCTCTCTATCTCATTCTGTCTCTCAAATAAATAAATAAATAAAATATTTAAAAAAAAATAAAAAAATAAAAAATAAATAAATAAAAATAAAAACAAAATAAAATTAATGCTAGAGAAACACAAGAAATGAAACTCTAAGAAAATGCTAACACTGGGAGATGAGGTATAGTGATGGAAGACACTGTGTACCATTTTGAATTTTGAATCTTATGATTTAGTACCTCCTCAGAAAATACAATTTAAAATTTCAAAGTTTTGGGCGCCTGGGTGGCTCAGTTGGTTAAGCGACTGCCTTCGGCTCAGGTCATGATCCTGGAGTCCCGGGATCGAGTCCTGCATCGGGCTCCCTGCTCGGCGGGGAGTCTGCTTCTCCCTCTGACCCTCTCCCCTCTCATGTGCTCTCTCTCTCAAATAAATAAAATCTTTAAAAAAAAATTAAAAATTAAATTTCAAAGTTTTGAGGGGCACCTGGGTGGCTCAGATGGTTAAGCGTCTGCCTTCAGCTCAGGTCATGATCCCAGGGTCCTGGGATCGAGTCCCGCATCGGGCTCCCTGCTCCTTGGGAGCCTGCTTCTCCCTCTGCCTCTCTCTCTCTCTTTCATGAATAAATAAATAAATAAAATCTTTAAAAAAAATAAAAAATAAAATTTCAAAGTTTGGGGACACCTGGGTGGCTCAGTCAGTTAAGCGTCCAACTCTTGATTTCAGCTCTAGTCATGATCTCAGGGTCATGAGACTGAGCCCTGTGTGGGGCTCCACGCTCAGCCTGGAGTCTGCATGTCCCTCTCCCTCTTCCTCTGCCCCTCCCCCCAAATATTTTTTAAAAATAAAATGCCATTTTTACTTAAAAGTGTTCTTATACTATTTTTAATATGATATTTATCACATTAGTGTGATTCATTTTGTCTTGGGGTTTATCATTTAATTTGGTTCAAGAACAGCTATTATCTAGGATATCCAGATTTCACCTTTAAAAAGTTATTTGAGGGGTGCCTGGGTGGCTCAGTTAGTTAAGGAGCTGCCTTCAGCTGGGGTCATGATCCCGCAGTCCTGGGATGGAGGCCCACATCAGGCTCCCTTCTCAGCAGGGAGCCTGCCTCTCCCTTTCCCCCAATCCTGCTTGTTCTCTCTCTTTCTCTCAAATGAATAAATAAAATCTTTTTTTTTTTTAAGATTTATTTATTTGACAGAGAAAGAGATAGCGAGAGCAGGAACACAAGCAGGGGGAGTGGGAGAGGGAGAAGCAGGCTTCCTGCCAAGCAGGGAGCCCGATGTAGGGCTCGATCCCAGGACCCTGGGATCATGACATGAGCCGAGGGCAGACACTTAACAAATGAGCCACCCAGGAGCCCCAGTAAATAAAATCTTCGAAAAAAGTCATTTAAAAAATATATAAGGCTGCAGAATTGCTAAGTGTGACCAATAATGGTGCCTCGGAAAACTCTTATGAACAATTAAGGTAGTAGAGATGTGCCACAGACACAAATTTGAATATTAATTATAAGGCTTAGGACAATTAAAAGATGTCCTTAGGGGTGCCTGACTGGCTCAATCAATACAGCATGCAACTCTTGATCTCAGAGTTGGGAGTTCAAGCCCCACCCTGGGTGTAGATATTACTTAAAAATAAAAATTAAAAAAATTAAAAAAAAAAAAGGTGTCCTTAGATCCTGAGGAAAAATAGACAAATGTTAAAAATAAAAAGGGGTACCTGGGTGGTGCAGTCAGCTAGGTGTCTGACTCTTTGTTTTCAGCTCAGGTTGTGATCTAGGGCCTGGTGAGATGGAGCCCCCATGTGGGGCTCCACTCAACACACAGTAGTAGGCTTAAGGCTCTCTCTGTCCCCCCTGCCCCTCCCTTTTCCAGTGGGCGCTTTCTTTCTTTCTCTCTAAAATAAATCTTGTCAATCAGAGAAAGACAATTATCATTTGATCTCACTCATATGTGGAATTTAAGAAACAAAACAGAGGATCATAGGGGAAGAGAGGAAAAAATAAAACAAGACAAAATCAGAGAGGGAGACAAACCATAAGAGACTCTTATCACAGGAAACAAACTGAGGTTACTGGAGGGGGGGGGGTGGGGGGGATGGGATAACTGGGTGATGGACATTAAGGAGGGTTCCTGATGTAATGAGCACTGGGATTATATAAGATTATATAAGACTGATGAATCAGTGACCTCTAGATCTGAAATCAATAACACATTATATGTTAATTAACTGAATTTAAATAAAATTTTTAAAAAACAAAAGGAGAAAAAATAAATCTAAATAAATAAATGGGTATGCACTAGAAGTAAAAAAAAGACTAGAAACCACAGTTCTACTTTACGGCCCTTAAAAAGAAATACTGAGTGCTAAGACAATATCAATAGGGAAAGAACAGTGTTGTTAACAAATACTGGAAACTGGGACATATCTATGGGCAAAAAAGACCCCTGCCTTACAACATACACAAAAATTAACTCAAAATGGAATGCCTGGCTGGCTCCGTCGGTAGAGTATGCAACCCTAGATCTCTCAGGGTCTTGAGTTCTAGCCCCAAGTTGGGAGTCAAACCTCCTTTAAAAAAAAAAAAACCTAACTCAAAATGGATCATAGACCTATATACGTAGAGCTAAAACTCTAAAGCTTTGAAAAGAAAACACAAAAGTAAATGGTTTCTGAGCCATGACACCAAAAACATAAGTGACACAAGAAAAAAATAAACTGGACATATCAAAATTGAAAACTTTTGTGTTGTAAATGGTATTAATCAAGAAAGTAAAAAGACAATACATAAAATAGGAGAAATATTTGCAAATTATCTGACAATTTGTGTCCGGAATATACAAAGAATGTTAAAACTCAATAATAGTAATAATATAAAGAATCCAGAGGATCGGGGCACCTGGGTGGCTCAGCTGGTTAAGCGTTTACCTTTCACTTAGGTCATGATCCCGGGGTCCTGGGATCGCTGCTCCACGGGGAGTCGGCTTCTCCCTTTGCTTCTCCCTCTGCCTCTTCCCTTTCCTCCCTACTCATGCTCTCTCCCTCTGTTTGTCTCTCAAATAAATAAATAAAAACTTAAAAAAGAATCCAAAGGATCGGAGCAGACATTTTTCTAAAGAGACACAAATGACCAATAAGCACATGAAAAGATGCTCAACATTAGTCATCAGGGATATGCAAATCAAAACCACGATGAAATACCATCTCATACCACTAGCAAGACACAAAGGCACACAAAGAAAGTGGGGCCTTCATTCATTGCCTGTGGGAATGTAAAAAATATGAGGCCATTTTAAAAAATAGTTCAGTGGGAGGCACCTGGATGGTTCAGTTGATGGAGCCTCTGACTCTGGATTTTGGCTCAGGTTCTGATCTCAGAGTCCTGGAATCAAGCCGAGTCAAGTTCCATGCTCAGGGGGAAGTCTGCTTAAGGATTCTCTCCATCCCCCTGCTTGCGTGCTAACGCTCTCTCTAAAATAAATAAATAAATCTTTAAAAATTTTTTTAAAAAGTTCAGCTGTTCCTCAAATTATAGGGTTCCATTTATATGAAATATCCAAATAGGCAATCTATAGATAAAGAAAGTAGACTGTCTCTGCCTGAGGGTGGAGGTGGATGACAGGGAGGTGGAGAGATTGTAAAGTGACAGCTAAAGAAGGGATAAGAAACTTCTTTTAGGAGTAATGAAAATGTTCTAAAATTAGAACTAGAACAGAATTAGACTGTGGGGGCTTGTGGGTGGCTCAGTTGTTTAAGCCTGTGCCTTCAGCTCAGGTCATGATCCCAGGGTCTTGGGATCCAGCCTGAGGCAGGCTCCCTGCTCAGCAGGGAACGTGCTTCTCCCTCTCCCTCTGCCTGCCTCTCTGACTACTTGTGCTCTCTGTCAAATAAATAAGTAAAATTAAAAAATAAAATTAGACTGTGATAATGATTACACAACTCTGTGAATATACTAAATTATGTGTATATACTAGGTTAATTTTATGTTTTTTGAATTAAATCTCAATAATGCTGTTAAAAAATACTCCTTAAACGCTAGTATGATTATAGGAATCCACCAGTGTAAAAAAAAAAATGCCCAACAGTTTCTAAGACCCAAGAATGCAGCTATCTTAGATACCTTACCAATTTTGATCTCCACTCCTCATGACCGAAGAGGCTAAACAGAGCTTCTCTCGGATGGACCATGGCTCTGTAGGGCCAGTACTCAGCAGCTTGTGTTCTAAAAGGAGAAAAGTCTTAGAGAACAACCACTGAGGCACTAGTTCTAAGGCCCAAAGGAAGGACTAAAAGCCTAATGCAAAACATCCCACCTTGTGGAACAAAGTGAGTTACTATCACGGAATCTTCATTTTCACCTCTCTACTAAAATATCATAACGATTCATTCCCCGCAAAATTGCACTGAGTATCTGGCAAAACATTTTACTTCTTCAAATGACACGGCTACTTTGTTTATTTTAAAAAGGCAGGGGAGAATGTCAGAGTAAGATAAGGCAGTTCTCACGACAGGCCCAGTTTTAAGACCAAAAAAAAAAAAAACAAAAAAGACTACTTGATTCCAATTTGAACGCGAGGGCTTATTTCCCAGGATTCCGAGCAGCCGCTCCCCTCCCCCACCTACTGCCCTGCCTCCTTCCTAGCATAAACTTGTTTACTTTCCTCGGTACTTTTACCCCCATGTAGCTGTCGGACATAATAAAAGACCTTTTCAACGTACGAAACAGGAAAATGGCTGAGATGCACAAAACGCAATTTCCCTAGCGGCCGAAAAAGCTAGAGTTAAAGTACCCCTTTTCTCTGGGAGCTGGACCACGGGACTCACAAACGCTGGCCAGAAACCGAACGGCTCTCTGAGAGCAGATTGCTCCCTGTGGCTCACAGCATCTCTTCGTCTGCACACCCAAGTCTCCTGAGCCCCTTTATCTCGCACCCCACAGAGTTACCAAACACATAAGGATTCGCTGAGCTGCTTCTCTCAAATCCCCGCAGCCTCCCTCAGACCCAACACCCTACACTTCTTCTGGGCCTCTAATCGTTAATCTTCACGATACGGTCGAGTGCAGGTCCCTCAAGACCCTGGGCTCTTGGGCAATAATTGTTCCTAATCCCCAAGCGTGTGACAGAAATCTGGTACCTAGCCTCTGGTCTAAAAGGCCTTCCACGCAAAGACAGTGGACATACTTACTACCCGTTCCGGTCGCCATCTTGGCCCTGAAGTCTCCACCCCCCTCAGGGAAGACGGTCTAGTGCGGCCCAAGCCCGGGAACTCTGGGAAATAGAGTCCGGGAGTTTGTTCGCGATGCCTCCTGGGAAGCGTAGTCCCAACCCCCAGGATGAGCAAGCCCTAAACCAGGCTTCTTGGGTGCTCCTGGGAAGGAATGTGCTAAACGAGGATGGCGGTGAAGCCTCAGAATTTCCTTTAGGTTTCTTAGAAAAGAAGTTCCTAGGGTCCAAGGAAAAGTGTTAAGCGCGAAGAATTGTAGGCGGCCCAACTCAAAATTCCGTCAGTTGGTAACCCGGAGCCACAATAGAAGGCAGGGGTCAAGCCGGAGCAAACCGTCTACCAGTCGCTTCCGCCCCTTTTCCTTGCGCTGATTGGCAGCTGCAGGCTTCGCTGTCTGATTGGCCGAACGAATGCAGCGCGTAATTTAAAACATTGTATCAGTAACAAAGGTGCTCCTCGTGGGTGGAGTTGTGCTCTCAGACGGCGAAAGTCCAGGTTCGGCAGCAGGGTGTGTGAGCCGGTACCAGAGGAGGAGCGAGTGTCGCGTCTTCGGTGAGTTTGCGGCTGTGCCGGAGCCCAGCTGCCGTACCAGTTCTTGCCCTCGCGGGATAGGCTTTTAGAAAGCGAAGCTGCGGCAATCCCCTATTTTTTTTTTTTTTTTTAATACCTCTGTCCTCCCTTTGGGCCTGGAGTGAGGTTGGAGAAGGAGCCTAAGGCAAATATACCACCTCCTCGACACCGGTGGGCGAGGCACCCTAATTAGAGTGTGGCCTTCTGCTTTTGGAGCGAGGTATCTGTTCATTCCTTTTGGCGGTCGGAAATGCCTAAGACAGGATTACGTGATTAACTCCTCTTATCCCGTACCCCTCTACTGGCATTTGAAGGGATAAGGGAGTAGGAATTCAAGCAGCGAGAGGAAGGTGTCCTGGGGCAAGGAAATTGTTTCTTACCTAGAATTTGCAGCCTCTTCTGTCCCTTAAGTTCTCCTCCCTACCCACCCTTGTCTCTTTGTAGACCTAAGCTGCCCCTGCTGTCATGTCTCAAGGGATCCTTTCTCCGCCAGCCGGCTTGCTGTCAGATGAGGAGGTTGTAGTCTCCCCCATGTTTGAGTCCACAGCTGCAGATTTAGGGTCTGTCGTACGTAAGGACCTGATAGCAGACTGCTCTGTCATCTCCACCTCCCTGGAGGATAAGCAGCAGGTAAAGGAGTTGGACAGTGGCTTGGCAGCAGAAAGTGATGTCCTCAGCCTACCAGTTGTCCATACAGAATTCGTATGAGGTCAAAGCAGCAATCCCAAGGGTCTGAGGGATCAATTAAAAATTAAGAGCACGACAGGTGAAAAATGTAAATTTGTGTGTCCTTAAGAACTATTATTTGCATTCCATTAAGGAAACACTCTCACGTGCATACTCTCCGTCCTAAGAGGGAAGGCTAAGAGTTCTCTCACCACGAGGCGTAGATGTGTTAAGTAATTTGCACAAGATCATACTGCCATTAGGTATGTTTTTAGTATTAACTGTAGCTTCCATTTTTGGAGCCTTTATGCTAAGCTGGGGTTTCTCAGCTGCAGCATTATTAACATTTGGGGCCAGATAATTCGTTTTAGGGGGCTGTCTTGTACCTTAAGATGTTTAGCAACATACCTGGCCTCTACCCACTAGATGTCACTAGCTCCTTCCCACTGTGACAACCAAGAAGCTTCCCCTGACCTAGCTAAATGTCCCTTGGCTGGGAAATGGCGCTGGTTGAGAACAATTCTACTAGGAAGTCTCCTGTTTTATAGAGAAAATTTCATGAGAGCAGGAGCCTTGATAATGTCCCTGCCTCTGGACCACCAGAGCCTTAGAGTTCCCAGGCCATAGTAGGCAGATCTCTAAATATCTGTTGCATGAATGAAGTGGGTTCTATTATTAACCCAATTCTACAGATATGGAAACAGAGGCAGAGAATCTAAAGAACTTGTTCAAGATGTCATACTTCTAAATGATGGAATTGGAACACTAATTTAGGTTTGTCTGCCTCCAAGGTGCTTAACTACTATGTTTTGCTGTAATACCACATGCTGATTTGCATACCAGTTAACCAGTTCTAATTCAGAAAGTCAGTGTGGCAGGCCAACGTTTCCAGGATACTGAAGACAGTGCAGGTGATAAAGCAGTGAAAAAACCCATGTGGGTTGGAATGATTATGGAACTAGAGTAGCTAGCTGTACAGATATTTGAGGTGAAATGGGGGTACTGTTAGCATGATTCTCTGGAAATATGCTGTGTTTGCCCATCTGCTTGGAAGTAACTGCTGATTCCTGCCTGGAATTCTGCCACAGGTTCCATCTGAGGATAGTACAGAGAAGGTGAAAGTATACCTGAGAGTTAGGCCTTTGTTACCTTCAGAGTTGGAACGACAGGAAGATCAGGTGAGTGTCTGAGGAGGGAAGATTTAAGATGGAATGATACAATACAGGAAAAGTTCCTAGGATTGTTCCCTTCTGTGATTTTTTTTTTTTTTTACCCCGTCTCAGGATTGTGTCCGTATCGAGAATGTGGAGACCCTTGTTCTACAGGCACCCAAGGACTCCTTTGCCCAGAAGAGCAATGAGAGGGGAATTGGCCAAGCTGCCCATAGATTCACCTTTTCCCAGGTATGGAGGTACTGGTTTATGAACAAGGACCAACATATTAGGGGCAACTTTATTCTCTCTTTAGAGGGGAAGGCTTTTACTTGACTGTGAGTTCCTTATATATGCATGTCTATAATTTTGGGGACTCATGTGTGAGTCAGTGCATCGAGTACTTTATGTGCATTAATTCCCAACATCTCTATTATTATTATTCTTGTCCCTATTTTCCTGATAAGGATACTATGACTCAGTGAAGATTATGTTGCTGAATCCATGTAGCTAGTCAGTGGTAGAGTTAGGCCTTGCATCTAGAACTATCCATCTCTAAAGCCCACCCTTGTGATTACTGTGTGCCATTGTGTGTGTAGCATCAGACGTAGCCCAAGAGTAGTGTGATGCTACACACACAGTGGCCTTGGAAGCTATTTGAAGATTGGAGCCAAGGGCTGGGGTAGGATCTCTCCATCCTTGATGGTACCTGGAAGTATCTGTTGATTTGGATGAAAGATGCACTGGCAGAGGGTGGTTTCGTCTTCAGTGTTTGGAGAGCAGCTGGAAGCACTGTGGGAAGAGGTTGCTTGAGTCGTCTCCAGAGCCAGTCACCCAGGAAGGGACGCATCTGCTGGCTCTGTACAGGAGGCAATGGGAGATGAGGGATGGGCCTCTGAGAAATTGGGTCTGTCTCTAGATCTTTGGGCCAGAAGTGGGACAGGCATCCTTCTTCAACCTGACCGTGAAGGAAATGGTAAAGGATGTACTCAAAGGGCAGAACTGGCTCATTTATACATATGGAGTCACCAACTCAGGGAAAACCCACACAATTCAAGGTGAGTAAGTAGTGGGCCTTACAGAATTGCTGATTGGCCTGTAATGATGCTTTTTGGTTTTTGTTTGTTTGTTTTTAAGATTTTTTGTTTATTCATTTGAGAGAGAACGAGAGAGAAAGATTAGGGAGAGAGAGTGAGAACACGAGCAGGGGTGACGGGGAGAGGGAGAAGCTGGCTCCCCGCTGAGCAGGGAGCCCGATGTGGGGCTCAGTCCTAGGACCCTGGGATCATGACCTGAGCCGAAGGAGGAAGCTTAACCGACTGAGCCACCCAGGTGCCCCTGTACTGATGTTTTCTTTGGAAAAGCCTTTTGATGCTTTGAATTTGGAAGGAGCACTCAGCTGTCCATCTTTCCATGCTTACAGGTACCATCAAGGATGGAGGGATTCTACCCCGGTCCTTGGCTCTGATCTTCAATAGCCTCCAAGGCCAACTTCAACCAACACCTGATCTGAAGCCCGTACTCTTCAATGAGGTAATCTGGCTAGACAGCAAGCAGATCCGACAGGAGGAAATGAAGAAACTGGCCCTGCTAAATGGAGGCCTCCAAGAGGTGAAGTGCTGGTGATCACAGAGGTGGGGTAAGAGGACAAATCTGTGGAAAGTTTTGTGCTTATTTTCTCTCTGGGCCTCTCCAGGAGGAGCTGTCCACCTCCTTGAAGAGGAGTGTCTACATTGAAGGTCGGATGGGTACCAGCACCAGCTTTGATAGTGGCATCGCTGGGCTCTCCTCCAGTCACATGACCAGCAGTAGCCAGCTGGATGGTATGTACCATGACTAGGCTCTGTACCAGGTAACAGTAGAAACCCACTCCCTTACTCCCAACAGCTTCCAGGGCTATAAACCAGAGGTTTCAACCTAAGCTGCTCCTTCTAAGGCCCCCACAGGCCAAAGGGGAGATGGACTACTCTAGAGTTGATGCCCTGTACATGGGCTTCTTCCCCAGAAACGAGTCACCGATGGGCACAGCCAGACACTGCCCCTGTGAGTGTCCCTGCAGACATTCGCTTCTCCGTCTGGATCTCCTTCTTTGAGATCTACAATGAACTGCTTTATGACCTGTTAGAACCACCTAGCCAGCAGCGCAAGAGGCAGACTCTGCGGCTCTGTGAAGATCAAAATGGCAATCCCTATGTGAAAGGTATGGGAAGGTAGGGAGGCTGCCAACTTCCCTGAAACGGGACTTGGGAGAAACCTGGACAAGTTAGGTGCTCCCATCTTCTATATGCCTTTCTTCTCTTTGCCTCAGATCTCAACTGGGTTCATGTTCAGGATGCTGAGGAGGCCTGGAAACTGCTCAAAGTGGGTCGTAAAAACCAGAGCTTTGCCAGCACCCATTTGAACCAGAATTCTAGTCGCAGGTGAGTGGGCGGTGGGAGTCAACTTTTCACTGTGTTCTAGGAAACAATAGTCCTCCACCTAGTCATGGAAGATACAGTGACTTTTATTGATTTCCAGTCATAGCATCTTCTCGATACGGATCCTGCACCTTCAGGGGGAAGGGGATATCATCCCCAAGATCAGCGAGTGAGTTTTTCCATTTAGAAATGTGGGCTTCTTGGTCATAAATGGTACTGGAGGCAGGGGTTAAGGGAGGTCCTCAGAGGAAT